TTGAAAACGTGGTTTTTTAGATTAATTTTTTAATCTACTATAATTATTTCTATAAAATCATGGAAGAAAAATTGGGTGCTGAGAATGGTTCTATGATGGTTATACATTTTGTGGAGTGAAAAAAGTGGGAGCCATAAGTGATTATAGTTTGTGGGTACAAATAATAATCAGGAGATTTTTGTGGCTCAAATTCAGTTAGATGATGCATCTTTTGTTTCTTTTTGGGATTCCTTTGTCCTACAGAATACAGTATATAGTTTTATTTTTATTTTCAACCATGTAAAACTGAGGTGGCTATCCTGTGCAGGGATATATTTTAGGGTTCATTCCATGCCAAAAAAAACTTAGGTATGTGTCATACTCATTGAGGTTGCAAGGTACTTATTATTAAATAGATAATAGATATTATTATTATTAAATATATTCTCAGACTATGTTCAAATGCTTGGAACATATCTGCATTGCCTTGGTTCACATTTTGTTTTGGACTTTAATGGAAATACTGTATTCAGAATTGCTCATGTTTGACATCAGAAATCAATCCAAAAAAGTCCTCACAAAATAAAATACACATTTTTTCCCTTCATTTGTATTTATGCAGAAGATTACCTAAAGGAAATGTTCTTTCTTTCATAGCAAAAAAAGATTTCCAGAATCTTAAAAAGCCAGCATACATGTAGAAAGCAGGCTCTATTTACAAAACAAAATAAAGGGACCAGATAAGAAATTGTTGCAGAGAACCCATCAGAGGGGCCAAAAGATTGTTACAACAGAGAAAATCATTGAATTTTTTTCAGGGAGTCTATATACCTGGATTAATACCATTTACTTTACAGTTGCAAGTAAAATGTCTAGAAAAAGGATCAGAAAATTAGCCTGCATTCTACTGTATTAATTTGAGCACAGTATATTTTTAATATGGTTTATGTGGAATTCATGTCCAATGATGTAATACAATTATACAAGTATACCTAATTTTCTACAGAAACGTCAACAACCAAAAAATGTCACTTTGCTGGATTTTTCTCAACTTTTCAGGTCATTTTCCGTATCATGATTGAGGCATTTATTGTTAGAATGTAAGGGCAGACTTTATTGTGGTTTGAAGTGTCCAAAAGTCAAAGCATTTTAAAATGTTAGTGCCCTGCTGCTGATGCATTACTTCATGTGAAAATTTGATTTTCATTCCATCACATACTAAGTTTTTTCTTTGCTGAATAAATGCAAGTACTGTACAGGGAAACCTGGAGATGTGGGGTCATAAAATTGACATTGGATCATAAAATTTATCAAATCATAATAATAAATTTATTTCTAAGATAGGTTCAATTCATCTGGTTCCATGTTACTGTTTGGTTTTTACACAATTAAAAATGCACAAGCCATGTAACTTTTATTTTTTGTACAGTTCAAATTAAAATTCTGAATATATTAGTAACAATAATGAACAATTGGCTGAACTGAATTCAGATAATTAGTTATGAGAACTACAAAGTACTGTAATGTTTTTTGTGAGATTTCTGCCCACAGGACCTGAAAGAAAATGTGTCATAGCTTGAATTTATTTCTTTATGGCACAAATTAAACCTGGCATGGATTAGTTTTTTTTTCTCTGAAGATAGAATACAATTCATAACATTGTCACATTTTCATTTAGCAACTGAGAAAAGGTTTTACACGTTCTTCAAAGTTAACTAGTTAATAATCAAAAGAATATAAGACCAATGGACGTTTATATCAATGACAACAAGAACCACTGGGGTGGGAACAAGTAGTACCGGATGACAAGTCTGGTTTAGGTGAAGGACACTTACCATGAAGTGGTTCGTTACTGTGGTTTCTGGTGGTCCATGTTGTCAACTCTGGTTGCCATATGTTTTGGTTATGCGGTCGACGTTATGTTCCTGGTCATTGTGGGCGACGTGGTTGAGAAACGTGCGCAAGAATTTGTTGATTCCCTAAATTAATTATAAATTGTGTTTTCGATTTGAGTAATTGTACTTTTTTGACAGTGTTTGAGGCCATGTATCCTGGGGGAATGACGTTAATAACCATGTACTGTTCTGACGACAACCAAGGACACGACCGTAAGTAAAAGTAGTACGGGATGTAAAAGTACGTCTCCTAACGTAAACATTTTATGTTGTCCAATAAAACTTATTCCAGAATGGAGTACATTGGGGTCTATGACAAATCAAGACAAGCCAGTTGGAGACCAGGCCAATATTCAAATTTTTAAAAGAATATGAAAAATTCCAATATCAAATACAGTATAAATTTCCCCAAGATCCACGCCAAATATGGGGAAATCCAGAAAATTAAGTGTACAAGAAAAAGTGTGTCTGCATAGTAACTTACGGACTGTAGGACCCCCTTACTGCAATTATTGGTACATGACAAGACTGCTGTTGGTTCCTGTGCTGGCATTCATTTTCATCATGCCCTACATTTTCATGCAGAGGATTGCATTTGTAAAATACAACAGGTTATTTTTCTAATTCCAGAATTGAGTACATTGGGGTCTATGACAAATCAAGACAAGCCAGTTGGAGACCAGGCCAATTTGAGACAGGTCCAATTTGAGATGGAAACTTCTGGAGACAGGAAAAATTTGAAACAGAAAGTTTTGTTGACAAAGTTGATATGAGACAGGTACATTTGGAGACAGAGAATTTTGAGACAAGGACTATTTGAGAGAGAAGCATTTCCTTGCTTTCAATCCTCTCTTGATCTATTGTAATAAACTGCTGTAATACACAAAAAACCAGAACATCTTTCATCTTTTTTCTAAATATTGGAAGAGGTAAACTGCACAAAATATAATCTCATGGTCGAAAATTACACAAATTTCCATAAATAACACCTTGTGTTGAAGACAATCAACAGCACACAAGTATTATGATGGAATATTTCTGGCAAAGCATATTTCAAATATTCAATTTTTTAAAGAATATGAAAAATTCCAATATCAAATACAGTATAAATTTCCCCAAGATCCACGCCAAATATGGGGAAATCCAGAAAATTAAGTGTACAAGAAAAAGTGTGTCTGCATAGTAACTTACGGACTGTCTCAAATTGTCCATCTAAAATTGTCCCTGTCTCATAATGTCCCAGTCTCATATTGTTCCTGTCTCATAATGTCCCTGTCTCATTATGTCCCTGTCTCATAATGTCCCTGTCTCATTATGTCCCTGTCTCATAATGTCCCTGTGTCATAATGTCCCTGTCTCATAATGTCCCTGTCTCATAATGTCCCTGTCTCATAATGTCCCTGTCTCATAATGTCCCTGTCTCATAATGTCTCTGTCTCATAATGTATCTGTCTCATAATGTATCTGTCTCATATTGTCCCTGTCTCATATAATGTCCCTGTCTCATAATGTCCCTGTCTCCAGAAGTTTCCGTCTCAAATTTCCATCTCAAATTTCCGTCTCAAATTTCCATGTCCAAAATTTCCCCATCTCAAATTGTTTGTCTCAATTTGTCCCGTCTCAATAATTTTCTGTCTTGATTTTTCTGATGTATCCCAGTATATTAAAGGATTGGCTGGATCTCTGAACATAAACATGAAAATCTGTGTGACATGAATTTTTAAAGGTTCCACCTGAAGCAACTATATTCAGCTTGCTTGATGCTATATAAATCTCAGCTTAACAAATTTCAATGATCCATTACTGTAAAATTCATTTTCTGATGGTGTTTCATTTTTCCATTGCAATAATTGTGAAATTTTATTAAGCCTTCTCCATTTGCAGGGAACCTCTATAAATAAATACTGTATTAACTGCTCACATTAACGAGTTTTAAGATATGCACTCAAAGTTTTCCTTGCTCCATCAAGATCCTCTGCTGACTGATATTTCAAACTGCAAAGCTTTATACTGTTTTTTTTTTGCTGCTGTGTGGAAGGCTGCATTTGATTTGAAAAATATTTTGCTTTGGAATTTTTTGATATTGCTTGATTTGGCAAGGAAAGAGTTTAACTTTTTCAATTATGGAAAGGGATCTTTCTTGTACAGTATACAAATCTTGCCAAAAGAACCAGTTGAAGAGTTTGTGGACATTTTTCAAGATATTTCAAATGCATTGTGCTTCTTATAAGGGTATAATCAACTATTTACTGTACAGTATTTATTTGTACAGAGTATATTTTACTAATCTTCACCTGTGAAAATTGGCTTAAAAATTGTAGGAACTAAATTTCATGAATAATATGAGACCTTGTCTATTTTTTATATCATAATTCAAATACTGTCAAAGTTTTTGAAAAACTTCTGTTTTGAATTGAGTTTTAGTTTTGGTACGTAAGTTTGGATTTTTGTGAATTTTTTTAGCGTGCTTGGGACGTTGTCAGTTTTTTACTTTGGCATTTTGGTGGTTGGGGAGTATTTTGCGGTTGACGCAAAACCATCCAACATCAAATGGGCCCCCAAAAGTGCCATGGATGTCATCAGCCTGTTGCCCTCACTTGCAACTGGGTTTATGGTAATTTTTGAATCAATGATTTGGAATTCTTTTATGNTGACATGGATGTTATTTTTCCAGATGCCAACTTTTCAATTTATTGTACAGAGGTACACTATTCAATGTTCCAAATGTTCTTAATGGTTTGAAAAGATATTCATTTAATTAAATTCAAGTGGCAACAATTTTTTTTCATGAAATTCTGAAGAATGTTTCTTCCATAAAACACCAATTAAAAATTATACAATGTAAGTCTATGGAAAAACAAGATTTGACTTGGGGACAATCCAACATAGGGACACTCTTGATGCACCAATTATGTCCGCATTTGGGGGTCTCACTGTATATATTATTAATTTGCCCTGTAAAGGAAAACAATGATTAATTTCTATAATCTTTGGAATTTGGGATCACTTTGGGATATTTCAATTGCAGGTCTGGTGTCATGACAGTTTACACAGAACTTAAGCGACTGAGAGTTGGAGATCACTTTGAACTCATTGGCAAGGAGGAAAAGACTGTGCGAATTGTGTTCAGCATTGTTTGGTTGCTGACATGTCTATTATCTGCTTTCATTCCAGCAGTGATCATTGTGATACATAGGATTGGTGCATTGTGTGTTCTTCTCATGTTCTTCTTTCCAGGTGATTATCTTTCAATTTGCTCTTGACATACATTTTTTTAATTTTTGCCTATGAAATAATTGCTCATTAAAAATAGAAAATGCATTTCTTCAAAAATTATTCACGCAAAGAAATGAACTTCAGACCATTTGAAGTCTGGATTTTCAAATTTTTTCTTAAATATTTTTGTGGCTTATTTCAGATTTGTGTGCAATCATCTGAAGATTTATTGTAGCATGTGTTCGAGATACAGCAATAATTTTTAGGGAAAAAATGTCGTACCAATTCTCATTCATAATAGTAAATAATTCCAGTTCTAGCAATATATGATCACAGTATTCTTTTAGTTTTATTTAGCATTTTTCTTATGATTCACATTCATCATAGAACACAAAGAAGCTCATTGAAAAAGATTTGCATTTTTCAAATTGTTGAGCATTCACTATTAAGAAAAATCAATTGATCATTCAATATGTTCAAATTGCTTTTTTGCAATAAGATTTTACAACCTTTTTTATACTGCTTGCTGCATAGAATATTACACAGAATGTAAAAGTTGGAATTTTTACTGTGACAATCTTCAAAGAATAACCATTATTGTTCATTCAGCATTATCTGTTGACTTATTCCAAAGCAATATTAATTTATCATTTCCATGGCCAAAATAAATCCTTTTCCTGTATTGTTATTATCCTAAGGAAGACTGTCTTTGATACTGTATCACCAATTGTGGCCCATCTAGTTTTTTGTGGCTTGTTAAACTAATTGAATGTATTAAATTCATGCTCAACTTAGATTGACCAATTTTTTCCCCCCAGGTGTCTGTTTGATAAAGTTGGTGCAAAATGAGCACCCAAGACCATTCCGCAACAGGTCAAAGCTCCTGTTTGCTACTGGGGTGGGTTATGCAGTATTGGGAGCGATTCTTTTCATTATCATGACTGTGCAGACTTTGATCAAGGATTTTACCACTGATTATTCAAGGCCTCCGTGTCCACCAGACACTCCGAAGTCAAATGCCACATTTTTGGCATGAGCTCATTGTTTTGGGCATTTGCGAATTGAAATGCGTGCTAAAGTGAATATTTCTTTTGATAAATGCTATATTTCTTCACCGTTTTTGTTTTATGAAAATAAAGTTGTTCTCTTTGACAGCGAAGGTTTCCTGCTCTGGTGGCTGATTTTTTTACCACGTTTTTATGAACTCACTTTCTTTTTTAAATGAGAATACTAAGTCTTTAATTGATCCCAATTGAGTTCAGCGGCTGTCTTCTGCCAAATGAAGTTCTGCAAAACACTTCTGCATTACCCAATCACTTTTAATGAATCAAAATATACTTGAATATTGATACAAAGGATTGAAAGGCAATTTTCCTATGATCCTCCCAACAGTTTATGATTATCAAATTTGACACACTGTTCAAAATCAAAAATTAACTTATAGCACTATAAATCTCACCCAAAAAGTATTCTTCCTGAGCTGCAGATCCAAACGCAAGAATTTTCACACAATTTCAAAAATAAAAATAAACTCTTCAGCTTGTAAAGTTCCAATATAATAACAGGAGCCCAAATCAACAGAAAAAGAAAAGTGAAAGAATCAATGAGGAACTTTGGTTCTTAATTGCACTGCATGTATATCATAGTTCATTGTAAAGCAGAAAATAATTACTCAACACTGAAAAAAGAAAATATATTATTTTATTTCAGAGCATTGAAAGTTCCCTTTGGCTAACATGAAGTGCTATTGAGTCAAAATGTGTCATAACTATGACATTCAATTTAATTTTCATCTAAATTTGCAGTCAGAGCACTGAAACTTTTTGGAGACAGTCTAAAAACAGACAAAAATAGAATTCTGCTCATTCATTCATAGAATGATCCAACTTTGTTCTAGATTTACAATTATGAGTTCACAGACTGAAATAAGTATTAAAGTTTGTAGGTTAGGCAAGCTTGTTTATCCCAAATGTTTTCATTCTAAATGTACTGGGATTTAGCACTTTTCAGATTTTATGCTTGATTTGTTTTATTTTTTCCTTTGTATGCCATTGCAAAAAATGGCAATTTCAAATCGTTTTAAATGGTGAGACATTAACAGTAAAAATAAATTACTTGAAGATTACTTAGAATCCCATTTCTGTTTAGGCAAAGTTGCTTTGATGAGATTTGTGCTACAAAATAATTTACAAATGACATATAAATAAGTGAAAATCCATGCAGGAGTAGTGAGAAAATAATGCATCAGTCCCAAATTGGAGCAGCAGGATGTGTTGCTTGTTTGTGAATTGCAAATGAAGTTCAACAAAATCTGAAATGAAAACAATTTTCACAATAATTTTGAATGAGGTTTTCTGCAAATCAATTCAAGCTTAATTGCAGGCAGTTTGTCACACATGAAAGCTAGAATAAAATCCTGAATTTTCAACAGCAAAAGTTCAAATGACCAGCAGGGGAATTTTTACTGAAGAAAACATACAAATGATCTTCAGGAGATAGTTTGTCCAAATATGATTTGTATTGTCAAGCCTTTCCAGAGACCCAAACAATTGCTCTTATAAAAAATTGCTCTTTGTGAGCTTCTTCATTTATTCTGCATATGTGCTTTCAATTTGAAATAATGTCAGTTCTTCAAAACTTCAACTTTCAAATAACAGTGAAGTGTGTCTGCTGGAAGAGGAAATCACTTACAGAAAATTGTATTTCCACCTCTTGAAGATTCATGGATTCTTTTTAGGAATTTTCTGCACCATTAGGCAGATGTAAGATGCCATGTCACTTATTCAATTTTTAATTAAATTCTTGGCATGGCAACACTCTTAAACAAATGAATTTACCAACTAATTTATGAAGTGCTGTACTTATTTTGGTTACTTTAAAAACATTTGGACAAAAGAACTGTAATTGCTTTGACTCATGCCCTTCAATGACAGTTAATTTGCATGAAGACTTGCACAAATGGTCAAGCATTATACCTGCAATTCATGGTGCAAAGTCTCATTGCTGAAATGCTTCCAGTTGTGGAACACATAGCGGTGATTGGCAACCATGCTTTTGATCAAATAAATATCTGATGTCCAGAATTTTATCATTTGACCAGGTACATCAGTAATTGCGGTGATTGCTCCTTGATTGTAACCCTCCAAGCCTTGGTTCAGCAGTTCATAATCCATGTTTTTCGGTACATGCACAAACCTTCATGATTTATAAGGCGTATTTCATTATCCGAGGATTTTATGATCTCAATCATGATGCTTACTTGGCACTTCTGGGGTAGAAAGGACTGGTCTTCCAAATCACTTTGGTTTTGTACAAGTTTTTGAGGGTATATTCTGCAAAGTTCCCCAAGTTTTCTAAGAAATCTTGATAGTTTCTCTCTTTGCCTTCACTGCTCAAGAAGCTCCACATCCCTCCTCCCATGACAAGCACTTGAAAAAATTAATATTTTTTACTCACACCTTCATCTGAAAAATATCACACTTACAGTGGAGCAGATTTCAAATTCCCTAATGCCTCATCATGACAAAAATCTGGATTTTGCATTAGGTTTCTATTTTAAAAAATTGATTTTTCATAAATGCTAAAAAAAATCTGTCAATATTTAAATGATTAATGCATCATTAATTTAATTTAAAGAATGTCATAATGCTTACAGAGACCAGACTTATGCATGGATTTATCCCAAAAGATGATACTGGTTTTTAAAAAGGCTTTAAAATTTGTAACAGAAAAATCTTGTTACAACAAATCTTGTTATGATAATTTGTTGCTTACAGTATAACACATTTTTTGGTCCCACCCCAAAATCCCCAATGTTAGTTCAATTTTGCTATAAGACGACATATTTGCTTATAATGAAGCTTTCTCAAGGTCCTAAATGCTTTTTTGTAACAAGATTCTTCTGTTTTCTAAAAAAGAAAACAAACTTGGGGTTTATCTTACATCTCAAATAATGAATGAATTCCCAAAAAGTGTTACCATATGAATTAGAAAATGGACTTGAAGAATCAGATTAGACAATTAATTAAATTTTGATTTTAAAATTACTGTATTTGCTGGAGTAACATCTACACTTTTTAAATTAAGAAGGAAAAGAGGCACTCATCAAAAGCAGGTATTACACTTTGAAACATTTTTATGTATGGTGCACCTCTTCCTTTCAACTGGGAACTTTTAACCAATATGTCAGCACACAATTTTAAAATGGAGATTTTAAAAAATTAGAAGTGCATCAACTTGACCTTAATTAATCGAAATTTCAATATATTTCAATTTTCAGTGTCAAAAAGTGAGGTGTGAATCTTATATACTTTTTGGGGATACATTTCTATTCAAAAGTTTGGCTGAGAATTAATGTGGGGCAAGTGCTGCTTCAATGGTACTCCAGTAAATAAAGTAATTTCAGTTGAATCATCCGTTCCATATTGATATAGATTTTTCATGAAATCTGAAAATATTCAAGCATTTAGGCTATATACTGTAGCTCCAATCTAGAAAGACCCACTTTTCACAAAATATTATTTTTATATCAATTCAAACAATTTTGACAATAGTGGAATTGGCATCTTAAATAATGAAATAATCTCGGTAATCTACGCAAAATATATTGATGCTTCATGCTAAAAGCTTCCAATGCGCATTCCTGATAACTGCCTTTCACGCATTTGCATATAGATATGGCACTTCTCTCTGTATTTTTCACTTATTTGCATACCGTCTGGTTCCCAGGATCCGAGACCGGAGATGGGTTTGGCAAACGGCTTCGAATCATCCATGAACGGCTTCCAGAGAAACAGGGAGTCGATGGAAGACGAGTCGAATTTGATGTGATCATCCGGAAGTTGAGTGAGATTAGAGCCGCGTTCATGCTTTTTACGGTGTCGTCAAAGCTTGTCTAGGGACTAGGTGTTCAGTGGGTAGTAGGGCTCAAAGTTCCCTCACGCAACTCTAGACTTCGTGAAGGCTCGGATATAAAGTAGCCAAGTGTGCAATACTATATGCGACATTCCTTTAAAAAAATATGACGGATGAAATTGTCTACGAATTCTCATTGGCGTGCACTTCAATGGGATCTTATTCAGAATCCACGTACAGTTTTAGCAAGCAAGCTTCCATCATCGAAGGAGAATGCTGGACGGGAAGAAGAGTGAAAAACCATCTAATTTTTCATATTAACTAAATTTGACACGAGAATCAGCGAAATCAACGCTCGAAGAAGCGAAGCACGGATGGTAAGATGAAATCATATTCACTCGGCACTGAGTTATCTTTAACCGTTCATTTTCGCACTCACTGGAAGGATTTTGTGAGGTCACCCTAAAATCGCGCATCTTCCGTCCATGTAAATATGAAAACAATCTCATCTCAGTTGGTCGGGCATTATAGAGAAAAATTTATATCTCGAAAAAGTTCGATGAGATATTTTCACGTCAGTATGTGGTGACTATATAGTATCTTATTCCTGAACAGCTCACAATCCAATTTCCGATCAAACAATGCCTCATCACCAACCTCATCTGCACTGTAAACCTTCGTGGAACAACGAGAAGAGGTCCATTGGAACCCACTTCCACCACCATCACTAAGCGATGAACGTAAATATCCGGAACGCAAGAGCCAATCACAGGTATCCAAACCGCCGTCCAAAATCAAGAAATTGATTTCGTTCGCCACAGCCAAGAACACGAGGAGCTTGCAAAATGGCACCACTGTGAGCCATGTCTTCTTGGCGAATTGCATCGGGAATCGAGGCATGCCAATCAAAATACACCGAAGGGAAGCCGTGGGATATGAAATCTTTCATCGACTACCCCCAGGAATATGTTTTCTGAACGGAATCACTATTTTTCTTCCGCTGGAGGAAGAAAGGCGGGCAGAGTATTTGTTTACTCTCCCACGCTGACGTCCGGCCGCTCTGAGTTTGCACGAGGAGCTCTGATCATCAGCCATCGCTATGGGGCATGTTCACAAAATAGAGAAGGCTATTCGTGCTATTGCTTCTTCTTAATTCATTGAGATCAATCATACACGCAATAATAAGATTTCTTCGCGGTATTCCTATTTAAAAGCTGTTATTTCCTACACCTAAGAATACGCTTCAAGACTTATTAAGCTGTAGTACCAAAGACGGTCTTACCGTTATTTTTCGCACGTAAAAAGTCTTGGTCTACGCTTGAAGTTGTTACGGTTGTCTGAGTTCTACGTTGAAATCACTTGCGAGAATTCCAAGGGCTTTGAGTATTTCACTTTTCATGGGACAGTATTTCACCTGCAAAATTTAATTCGATTTAAAAATATAACAGAAAAAAAAGAGGAAACTAACTCTTTTTTTTAAACAAGTGATCTCGGCAAGTGTTCATCGCATCAAGGACTATTTCCATTAAAAAAAAGGGAAGAAACACGTCCCATGAAGAGCAAAATACTGCGCCCAGTTATTTTTCCATCTTTTCCACAGGCTTCACTTGTTCTTCTTTTTCTTCTTCTTCTTCTTGGGGATTTCATCAGAAGACGACGGAGACCGTTTCCGCTTTTCCGCGATACTCGATCCGTCTTCCGGCTTCTCATCCTCACTTCCGTCATCATTGGACGAGTCGTCGGATCCGGAAGAATCCGACGTCGGCGGCCCCGAAGACGACTCATCACTCGACACCATCTTCTTCCGCTTCTTTTTCTTCCTCGACGTTCCGTCCCGAGTCTTGTGCTTCTTGGCGTGACGACGATGAGTCTTCTTCTTCGACTTGCCGCGTTTCGCCTTTTTCCGACGCTTCGACACGGTTCTAGAGTCGTCACTGTGGCCGCCGTCGTCGTCGTCAGAGGCGTCGCTGGGGTCGTCCTCGTAGTCCGGCTTGAATTCCGCCTCTTCGACAGACGCCCTCTTGATTTCCTCGGTCCCCGAGTCTTCCTTAGACTTCACCTTCGGACGCTTTTTCTTGCCTCTTTCCTTCTCCTTCTTTTTCTTCTTCTTCTTGTCTTTGTCTCGTTTGCGTTCCGGCGACGAAGACGACGATGCGGAGTCCCGTTTGTTGCGACGACGGATTGAGGCGGCCGCGGCAGCGCCGCCGTCTTCTGCTTCGTCGTCGTCGCCGTTTCCGGCGATCTTGTTCAAAACGACGGCCGGAGATTTCGGCGATTTCTCTCTGACCTTATTGTCGACGGGCAGTTGTTTTTGTTCCAATTTCGTCGAGGAGTCTTGCTTTTGCAGGACCATCACTCGACGCGTGGGTTTCCGTGTTCCCGTCGGGTCAATTTCCGCTTTCATCACGAGCGAAGACAATTCTGCAACAAAATTAATTCAGGAGGAAAAATAATCATCACGCATTCTTGTTAAATGATTTTTTTATATTTAATTTAAATTCGAAGGTTTTTACGACAGTACTGTATATTGGGTAAAAAAAAATTCTGGGTCTAAAAATTGGGAAACCAAAAAAATTTCAATGGAAAGATCATCCGGGTTTTCAATACTTTGCGAGGAATTTTTTTTTTTAATGCAAAACTGGCATTTTTCTTTTGGGGGTTAAAAACTTTTTAAAATTTGATTAAAATCCAAAAGGTATTTTCAACACTGGATAAAAAAAATTCCGAGTCCAAACATCAGAACATGAAAATTTTCATGTTTCATTATATATTTTTTCTTTTCAAAGCTGACAACTGGCTTTTACTATATTGGGTAACCAATTCTGGGTCTAGAGACTCTGGGTTTAGGGACATGAAAAAATTTGGAAAGGAGAAGATTTTCATCTGTTTTAATGATTCGCAAAGAACTTTTTTTCATGCAAAACTGAACCTGTCTGTTAGGCTAAATATTTTTGGAAAATTTGATTCAAATCCAGTTGTTTTCACTAATAGGGTAAGAATTTTTGGGTCCGCAAATCGGCACACGAAAAAATTTGGAATGGAAAAGATTACCCAAGTTTTCAATGATTCGCGCGGAATTTATTTATTTTTCAATGCAAAAATGACCTTTTGGAGCAAATATTTTTCTAAAAGTTGATTCAAATCCAAAGGTTTATACAGTATTACATTGGGTAAGAAAATGTAGGTCCACAAATTGAAACAAGAACATTTTTGGAATGTACAGAGTTATCGGAGTCTTAAATGAATTTTTTTCATTTTGTTCCGTTTCAGTGCAAAACTGACCCTGTCTTTTGGGCGCCTCGATTCTTTCGCGAACCCCAGCATCTTTCTTGACTTCTTGGACCATCTTTTCTTTCGGCTCCTCTTCTTTGGCTCTTCCAACCGACGGCGACGCGTCCTTCACCAGCGCAGTCGTCCGATCCTTGGATTCTTCCAACGCAACTTTCCCCGAAACATCCTTTTCAACACTCGTCTCCTTCTTCTCCGCCGCCTTTTCCCGACGCGACTTCCGCTGTTCCTTCTCTCGGTCACCACTGTGTTCTCTTCTGGCTCTCCGACCGTCTTTCGGCGCCGCTGGAGTTTCAGTACGCGATTCAACCAACGGCGGCGGCGGCTGCTGCTGCTGCTCTTCGCCTCTCTTCGAAGGCGGCGATCGGGATTTAGAACGACCTCGTGGGGTTTCCTCTTCGCGTTTCCGCTCGGGCGACGCGAGTTCCGCCCCGGGCTCTCGTTTCGCCGAGTCGCCGTGCCGCCTTTCTGCAGAGTCGCCTCGGCGCCTCTCGGAAGTGTATCGGGATTTGCTCGTAGAACGTCGGGGTCTCGAACGGCTCCTGCTTCTCGAACGGGATCTTTTCCGCTGTGACGATAGGAAAAAAAAGACAATATAGTAGAACAGTGTAGGCTCTCTCTACAACGATTTTCTCTGCATAACGATTTTTTTCGTGATCACAAGGGGTTCTACAGTAGTCTAACCGTTACAAAAGATTTTTTACAACGAAAGTCTATCTGCAACGATTTTTTCTGGTCGCCCGAATCACTTCGTGGATTGCACCTGTACAACGAATCTTGCTGAAACGAAAAATCGCTTACAACGACGTTGTTTTTTTTAAGGTCCCTGTCCAATATCCACAATGTTCGATGAGTCACTGTTTAACGAATTTTATACTACAAGAAAGATACTGTACAGTATTTCACTTTTCCCAATAATTTCGTTGTGATGAGAATTTTTTAAAGACGAATATCAGAAGATTAGTTCTGCACTGCCGTCGATTTTTTTAATAACTTTAAATACATGTAATAAAAACAACAATTAAAATTCCAAGTCCTTCGAATTTTCAAAGAAATATTCGATGGAATTTCTTCCCCAGTTGATTTTGACTGCAACACATGAAGTAGTAAAGCATTCAACAACGTAAAATCCGAATTTTTTATTTGCATTGCGTAGAACGGGTTGAGAAGTTCTACAGAGATCCCCCACTCGGGAGGATCTGACAAGGATAGGGATCTCCACAGCTCTTCTACGGAAACTGAAATATATGATACAAATTACGAACAAAATTATACCAGAGAAAGGCTCACCTTTTCAGAGGGTTCACGCCGATCCCGATCCTTCTCCCGCTTGTCCCGATCTCGCCGACTCCGGTCTCTCTCCCGATCCCTGTCTCTCTCCCTGTCCCGCTCTCGACCTCTTTCCCGATCTCTATCCGGATGTTCCCGTTCGCGTTCTCGGTCCCTGTCTCGATCCCTATCCGACTCCCTCTCACGTCGGTCTCTGTCCCGATCGAAACGCTCCCTGGCCCGATCCCGCTCTTCTGGTCTCCGGCGCTCGAAGAGCTCGCTGTCCCGTCTTTCCATGCCGCCTCGAGATCGGGACCTTCAAAAGAAAAAAATAAAATGAAATTTCGTCTTCATCAAGTTGCCTTAAAACATCGTAAACGGCAACTAGAAAAAAAAAACAACGAAGGCCTCCCAAAACTGAGTCAGATTGATGCCAGATCTAAAATTATTCGAATGATGCAAAATACCGTATTTACTTGAGTATCGCGGCAAATGTTTTTCAACAAACAAAAACAACGGCAAAAAATGAGGTGCTCGTCACAGTCGGTTACAAATTTTCCAGTACATTTTCCTAAACTTGGAACTTTTCCCATGCTTCCAAAATTTTTTCGAAGGTCTCTTTTTTGATTCTTTGTTACCATATTTTCTTAAGGATCGCGCACATCCTTAAAAAAAAACATGGAAAAACATCCGTCAGTCGGGTACAACTTTTTCATTACATTTTTTCAAACTTATTACCCACTCCGAAATGTTCTTTTCTTATTAATGATCATTCTTTATTTCGCATAAGATAAAAATTAACATTACAGTCAATTTTGAACTGTGGTTGTATTTAGATTTTTACCCCTAGCAGTTTTCTGTAATGATAATTTCAGGAACTGAAAACTAAATTGTGCGTGGTACTGGAGTAAATGCAGTATGCCTCGAAAAAACGTTACAAATTCCAATAAGCTTTCAATCACTCAAGAACGAACGAACAGAAATTCGAAAATTCACTTCAAACAAACTCACGTGTAGCTGTCAAAGTCACGGTCCCTTTCAGGCGACCGTCTCTCATCACCATATTGTGCGCCGCCTTGTTGTTCCCACGGCGGTCGTTGGGGGAAGCCGCCGTCGAAGAAATCTCGACCTCCGCGGCCCCTGGCGGGAAAACCCCGGGCACCTCGAAACCCAGTTCCCCTGGGGAACATGGGTTGAGCCCCTCGGCCCCGGAAAGCACCAGCCATCGGTGGCATCTGTTGGGCGGTTTGATGCGGCGGCGGGAAGCCAGGGTAGGTGGGGAAGAAATCGTAGGGGCGTCCAGTCTGAGGGAAATTAAAGAGTGAATTTCCCTCAGATAAATCAAGCCTCAAGTCGAATACTTCCCATATCAAGAATTTTTCTTTCAAATTCTTTTTTAAACAATGCATTGAAAACCTGCTGAACTCAAAGGCTCTCCTCCTCAAACCCCCATTACTCGAACTTTATGCAAGCTTATTTTTTTAGTTATACTTTTAAAAATTGAAACAAGAAAGAGAAGAAAAATTAAAATAACAGTGTCTTGAGAGCAAGTGAAAGACTCATGGCGCAAATGAACCCTTGCATCCCGAATTCAGCGTTCTGTCAACTAATTCACAAGCAATTCAAGGCCTAGAATATCACCAGTTACACTTTCCTGTGATTCTTTATTTCTTTCTTGAAAATTTCGATATTCCCAACTCGCTTCCTTCTTGCTGGTTCCTCGAAGTTCGATACAAAGAGGTTCGGCAGTAAAATCGTGTGTTTTCGAGAAACAGTATGCATGAATGAATGCAGGCTCAAGAAAATTCGGTATATCGAAATTTCTCAACCGCATAAAATGGTGACGATATTTTCATGAAACGATACATCAAATCCTTCAAAACGGAGTTTTTTCAATATTTTGCAAAAAAATAAGATATTGAAATTAGATGTTAATTCTTTCAATGCAGAGTTTTACTTCTGGAAATTTTTTAAAAAGTTTGAAATAAAATTAACCACGTTTTCGAGCAGAACAACACATTTCTCACAGCAGAATTACAGCAGCAAAGTTTCTAAATTAAAAAATAAATTCGCATACTCCCATAAGCGTAAGGAAATCAACTTTTCGGACACATTTGCATCAAACTCAATCGCGATTCACCCCCAAAAAAGTTATTCAAGAATCCAAAAAAAAGAGCAATAGTAAGATCAGTACCTGGAATTGTCGCTCAGGTTCTCCAGGAACCTGTCTTTGGAAATCGTACTGTCCCATCAAGGGCACTTGTGGGGCGCCATAAGGGTAAACGCCGCCGCCGTCCCCAACGCCCCTGCAAGGACCGCCGGGGCCAACGCTGCCTGATGGTGAAGAGGCAAAAGCTCTGCCGCTGTTCAGTCCTCTGAAACTTTTCCTAGCCCTGCCACGACGTCTTCGACGGCGTCCCGGGGATCGTGACCTCGATCTCGATCTGCTCCGCGATCTGAAATTTCACAGAACTTATTTCAAACTTTGAAAAACAAAGAACATGCACTCATTTTTCTCACAATAGATACATTCCGGTTCATTCACATTTACGTCATTCTCGTGATCCTCCAATTTTTTTCCCGCCGAAGTATGTTTCTTTGCAGGTTTCTAAACGCGAAATCGGAAAATTGCGGAAGGGATTCCTCGCGTTTCGACGCTCGATCTTGCTTTCTGACATTGCACGTAGCTGTAACCCGACTAACAAACCTGGCCCAAATTAACATGAATAGATCTGAACTAACCCAACCTGAGGATACAAAAGAACCCAACCTCACACAATGTGTGAAAATAACTTATCCTAACTTAAAACGAACAAAACATGGCAATTCTCATGCGACATCTACAGGAGACGTCAGGCAATAAAATTGCAAGAACCGAATATTGTTGACATTTCTTCACTTTTCAAATAATTCACTTTTAAATAGCGCAATTGTTTTATATTTTCCGCAGCATTTTTGAAAAAAAAAATGTATGTTCTTTTGTTCTGACACCCTACTCGACTTTCTGAAGTGTTCCTCAAAATGTCTTGCATTTAAAAATATTACACTTTAAATTTAACAATTATTTTCCACCCTCTGAACCATGACTTAAAAATACATTGATTTTTATCCATTTTGACAGCTTTCTGGAATGTCCGTCAGAAATACATAATAGTACCGCAACAATATGAATACCAGTAATACAGGCAGACTCTCTCTACAACGATTTGTTTGACCCATCGGGGTTCTCTACAACGAACTTTTTGGGGTTTGGAGATACAGTAAACCTGTTCTAATAATAAAAATGATAATAATGTGCACCGGTATCGTCGTCTCCTGTCGGAATAGGGCGACGGAGACCGTCGCCTCGCTCTCTGCTTCCTCTGCTCTTGTTCTCTCAGAAACTCGTTGAACTTTGCCAAAGGATCGTCTACGACTTCCACAGACGGCTGAACGATCGGCGGGCCCAACATGGACTCCCGCATGAGCATCGGAGGTGGGCCATGCGGCAGCATCCCCGGCGGTACCAGGCCGTGCATCACAGGCGGCAAGATGACTGGCGGCGGCTGGCTCATGTCCAGCATTGGCGGCGGAACAACTGGAACTATTTCTGGTGGCGGAACCGAACCTTCCAATGGCCTGGAAAAAAGAAAAATAGAGGTTAAATAAATTCCCTAGCATTTAGTCAAAGTTATCAAATACGTCATCAATGTGTACTAAAAATTAAAAAAAAATGAACTCCCATCTAGGGTGTCTTCACGGTTTCAATCATTTTTCTGGAATTCATGATTTCATGAGTGAAAGTGAAAATTAACACATGAAGAAATTCCTACTTATTTAGTGAACGAGAATAATGAAATTTGCTTGTATTGTTTGATTAATGGATGGATGGAAACAGATGTTATTTTACAAGATAAATATTCAATAATAATACATGAATTCGGCTACACACAAAAAAACGCATTTTCAAAGGACAGTATCGTAAAAAAGATTTAGCGATCAGTGAATAATTTTTTGAACCGCTTTTAAAGGAAACTGAAAAGTGGACTCACTTCCGTTCACGTTCGCGTTCCCGTTCAGGAGATTCTCTGTCCGGACTTCCAGACTTGGAAGAAATAGGAGAACAGGACGCCGCGTGTCCGACATTGTGAGCAACGACATCTCCCGGGGATTTCGATCGCGAACTCCTCTCTTGTCTCGAATCCGGTCGCGGAGATTCTTCAGGCACCTTTTCAGAAACGGTCTTCTTCGCCGAGTAGTTGGGATTCTTCTGCAAGAATACTTCAACCTTCTTCCTGAAGAATCTACGCATACACAAAACAATGGTTGAGATTAATAAATACATTCACGCGGATATGCCGTATTTACTCAAGCAAGATGCGCACCCTTTTTCTCAAAATTGAGATGAAAAAGTGGGTTTGTATCACATGTAGAAATTCAATTTTCAAAAATTGTCATAAGTTTAGGTGCGTGTCAGACTTGAATATAATAAGAAATTTCTGACAGGAACTTTTTTAATCAGACGTCAAAACAATAAAAATTACTGTGGTTGAAGTTGAGTTCAAATTTGAATTTTCGTGTCTCTTATTTTTGAACTACTGTATTTACTCCAGTACTTCCTTTCTCTCAAAATTGATAGAAAAACAGGGGTCATAGACAGGGATACATTTTCCTTTCTTTTTAGAAATTTAGATTTGCATCATACTTGAAAAGAAAAGGAAATTTTGAACAGAACCTTCGAAAAAAATCAGAGTAGGTGAAATTGAATTGAATTCTTGTTGAAATTTAAATCATAGTGCTTCTCACTTTTGAAAGACTGATTACTGAAGTACCACGCGAACCTTTTTCTCAAAATTAAGAGAAAAAAATAGGGGGTGCACGTCATAGACAAGGATACCATTTTCAATTTTTTTATCGAAATTTAGGTGTGCATCACACTTCAATAAAATAGAAAATGTTGGACAGGAAATTTTTAAAAAGCTTAAAATTGATTGAATTCACGCTGAAATTCGAATTATGTTGTCTCTTACTTTTGAAATATTGTAATTTTCTGTGGAAAAATGGGGTGCGCGTCTTCCTCGGGTATAGAATTTAATCAAGATTTTAGGGTGAAAGATTGGGGTGCGTTTCTTGCTCAAAGGCGAATTTTCTTTTAAATTAAATTTTCAATAAAAATAAAACAAGACTTCGAATCAAAAGAGATATTGATTTAGAGGCAAAATGTTATTTTACGGAGTGAAATTCAATTTTTAGACTCCCTGAACATTTTTTTTTACACCTGAAGAAAAGTTTGAAGCGCGGTCTCAACTCGAAACATTTTATCCAACTTTTTTTTTCCCAAGGTCATTCCACGCAGCATAAAACAAGGCGTCCGTTATCCGGGTCATCGCTCTCGATAATCCCCTTTCCGACTGACCTGTTGGGTATGACGACAGACGGGTCAGTGGAAGAAGCTCCACAGGCCAGACATTTGCCTTCACTTTTGGAATCCGCGTCGAAAATCTTGGACACGCAATCCCTACAAAACGGCCTGCCGCAACACGGAACACTCACAGCGTTTTTAAAAAGCTCTTCGCAAAATCCACACACTAAATCGTCCACGGGGTCCCCGGCAACAACCGCGTTCAAAACGGCCGGGGGCATCTCAAGTCTCTTCTTCTGCAAAAAAGATGCATAGCCTTCTGTCATCAATAAAAAATCAGATCCGCTTCATGTTCACCTTCTTCTGGAGAATACAATTGCCTTCATTCCGAATCGACTACGCAGTTGAATTAATTTATTCGCGAAAATTGTCAGTATATGATCTAAATATCTCGTTTGCTTTCGTAAAATTATGTAGCACTAATTTTTACTGAGGCTTACAGAGAAATACACTAGTTCCACAAAAAAAAACGCACTGGGTTACTTGAGAAGTCTATGCCTAGCTCAATAATTTACGGCTAAATTTTACCGCGAAAATATTCGACTCTATGACAAAAAAGTCCTCAAAATATTTTATTTCGGGCCACAAATTAATATTTCCCTCAAATCAGAGAAATTACACCAGCTGAGGGAAACCTCAAGTCAGAAGACAGGGGAAAGAAAATTAATCTCTCATCCGACATGTTTCTGGAAATGAACTTTGCAAATTTGACACAGAAAATCCTCTTTCGTGAGATCGTTCGCATTTCGTACACGGAAAATATGAGATTTCTTAAAAATGCTAGCCCTCAATAAGTTAGAACAGTACAGTATCTTAATTAGCCCTTTCGTAATATACGAGTAAGTTAATTTTTGCGAAGAAAAATTTCACGGAATTTCCCGGGAAAAAACGGAAATATTTTTATTCGAGAACGAAACGCAAGGAAATACTTCTTCCCTCTTCAAATTAAGAAGAAGCCCGACACATTTCATCAATTGAGACTTGAAAAAGATCAATTGAGGAATTGAAAATTACGCAATGAATGCGAACATAACCCGTAGAGACTTCGGGCACGTGCAAAAAATTTGAACTTCCTAAAACTCGAAATAAACTCGCTCGTCAACAGATCGAAGAAACGACCAACACGGAATTTTTCTTCAAGATTAACGACATTTAAGTCAACCTACCCGAGAGAAGAGTGGAAATTGGCAATTGGAGAATTCCCTTCACGACATTTAATATAAAAAAAAGAAGAAGAACGATAGAAACCAGGAGGAGACACAAAACGTTCGTGTCCCATTCCCAGTTTCCAATTACCAAAAAAGGAGAAGGTACAGTAGAGGGGTACAAAATAGCAGCACTTTTGAAGGACTCGGAAACGTTCAAAAGGAGAGAACATGAGAAACAAAGTTTTATATTTCCTCCGTCGATTTCCCGCGACGTGTCCCCGGAAAGACCAATGAGAGAAGCAGGCAATAAATTAAAAACCGAAGCCCAACTACCGCCAGGAGTCGCGTGTCCCTGTTAAAATATGGCATCATCCAAACACAGACAAAAAAAAAACCAAAAAAAAACCGATTCCGTCCTTATGTACACTCGATCCGCTCTCCCCGCGCACACAGAGCACGCTCAGAGACTCCAGCAACAGCCTATTCGTTTCCCCCAGATCATAAAAAGCACCACGAAAACAAACAAACAAAAAAAAACACAACAGGCACTGGAAGGAGAACAGCAAGCCGGGGTTTGTGCGGCTCCGGATACATTCGTTGACACAAAAATCACGTTCTCTGCTTCCAGAATCACTCCTCGGTTTCTTCAGTCTTTCTTCCTTCTTCTTTTCCTTCTTCTACTACTATTACCCCCCGCAACGTTTTGTTCCCAATGAGCAAAAAACACCTTGAGCCGGAGAGCTAGCAAAAAATGCGATTCAGTGGGTTCGTTTCCTCGAGCCTCGGTCCAGTAGCTTCCGCGATTTCTCCAAAATATATATAATATATAAATCCTCATTTGCCCAAGTTTCGTAACTCCAAAAAACCTTCTGGCACTCGTACGTATATCGGTTCCCGAAAAGATTTGGCACGCGACAAGCGGGGTGAAAACAAAATGCGTCTTCCGAGATTCATAAACACCAGAGAGTCCGAAACACAAAAAAAAAAAAAAAAACTCATAGAGAAGCTCGAACACAAAAAGAAAAACGACCGAGACGGACCTCGACGTTTTTCCTTTTCCACAATAACGCAGACTCGATACGTATCTCGGATTCGTTCCCTTCGGAAAGACTCTTCCATCCCCATTTACACTCAAAAATCTTCCCCACAAAAACAAAAAAACCACAAAATAAAACCATCGTTTCAGGTTCTCTCATCCACCAAGCCGACTCCAGGTCAGATTTCAAACTCACTGATCCAGCAACCCTAGAATTCAATTTTTTTTCTTTTCTTCCCCGGGAACCTCTTCCCAATTTTTGAACACTTGGAAATCATTTCCAAGAAACCCCTAAAATAAGAAAATTAGAACCAGGAGCCGGAGGGCTTTCTCAAAAAGTCTCACGGATTTCTCACGAATTACCACTGCAGCCAGGTGAAACATGACGATTAGTTTTTTTCAAGCACCTTTTCTGTCAATCTGTAACAAAATATTGCATCCATTTCTATGCAGAAAATCATGACTTCTTCGGAAAAAAATATTGGGAAATTTGTTCAGGAATAAATCTCACGTTTGAAATGTTCCCTTTCAGAAGTATCGTTTCAGTGCAAGGTTCCTGAAAATATATGAAAATTCGCCAACTGTGAGTTTAACAAATATTGTAGAATATGTCAAAACATTTCGTAGGATCATTGACTAAAAAAAACTAGAGAACGCCAACTTCTCAATTACAGTGGGTCCATCACATAATTTTTGATTGCATCTCTACTTCACCTGTCTGCAATGAAATAAACCCTCGCCTGACATCCTGTTCAATATTTAAAAAAATAATGATGATTCAAAATTGACAACCACGTTTCAGTGGCCAGCAATGAAAAATTTGTCGGCGACTCGCAAGACTGATTGAGAAATTCTTCGCAAGTTTCTTCTTCCTAAATTAAATCCACGACGAAGTGCTGATCAACAAACAAACGCCAGGGTTGCCAGAACAGGGTGTTTTGACACCGAAAGGCACATGAGGGCCCAACAAATGAGAAACCTTTCCACGAACGAAAAAAAAAATAATTAGTCTTGTTCGCTTTCTTTGTACAGCTCGGGATCGGGGATTTGATTATCCACGAAAATTTCCTTCTTTTTCAGAATATGGCCGCAAAGTTCCCTACACTCGACATAGCAAAAATCACTGCGGACGGAAAACGCGTGTTTTCCCTTTTTTTAATGCACCGTTCCCGAAGTAAAATCCTCGCAGTTTCTTTTTCTTTTCCCCCACATCAGCATCATCATCAATTTCCTGCCTCCCTCCCAGGTTTTGCAAACTTACTCGCTTGCTTTGAAATTTCGTGGCTATTGCTTCCAGTCTCTCACTCTCACTCTCTTTCTCTCTCACCTCGTTGGAATTCCTTCGTCTTTTGTGTTCTAAAATGTTATTAAACACTCGGGTTACGGCGGCGTGACGAACGGATTGTCCGTAGATGGCGCTGTGGACTGCATCACGAAAGGATTCAGAAACGGCTGAGGAGATGAAGACTTCAGGTTCATGTGCGTGATACGATGACGACGCATGTTGCCTTGTTGCGAAAACCTGAACAAAATGCACCAAGACTTCAAATAATTCACCTGACTTTCGTGGCATAAAAGATAACACAGCCCGGGATGGACCAAGAGCGACATTGAAATCTTTGCGTGAGATAAGAGTAACGCGATTTTGGTGGTACTTCATCCAAACCACAAGGAAATTCATTCTCTGATAAATTGATGAACAAAGACATGTTCAGAAGTACAATACAGTGATACCTTGCCTAACAATAAAAAATGCATGTAGACACTCTACAACAAAATTCAAGCGACCAAAAATAAGAAATGTGGACAATACAAAGAATTTAAGGGCCAGAATAAATTCGCTGAAGAGCGATAAAATATCGCTGCAAAGAACCCTATGGGACCAAAAATTCCTTATCCAGAGAAAATCGTTGCATAGACAAGGTCGTTATAGAGAGGACACCTAAAATAATAAATTGCCCAACAAATATTGTCTCACCTACAGAACATGAGGACCTACAATTGGCAACATTTTTCGACAGTAAAAATCGATAATTACCATTTCTGGTCAATTTTTGAAAATGGTCCCATGCATTCAAAAATAATTATTTTTCACATGTAATCCAAATTTTTTTTGTAAATGCAAATACTCCAGTAGGACTCTGCAGGAGTAATTAAATTTTGCACTACTTTGAGAGGGGTGAGTACAGGTGAGTAGGACCATTTTCAGTTGCAACAGCTACACCTATGAAACTCATGCACTACGTTGCTTCACTACTCTAGTACTCTGGCAGTAGATGTCGCATTTGTACATGGTAAATTTGATCCATGCTTTTTCTCATTAAAAAAAGACGAACATGAACGTTGCTCTAGAATTTTAAAATGCCATGGCCATTTCTGCAAGTTTAACATCAATTCTTATGAAATTTCAAAAATTGCTATCATCCTGTAAAATTTTTCAAGGAACCGATTATGTACTGTACAGTACTGTACTTGGTTTCACACTAAAGGTCAAGGGGAAAAAATAACTTGCCTAGTAACAAAGTGCTGGAAAAAATCATGTTCATTTGGTGAAGCACCCCTAAATGCGATTATTGCTTCTAGACTAGTCAGAAATCAATTCATTCACTTATATCAACCTCGGCAAAAACTGCTCAATCGAATCAAACCGACATTGCCCGAACTTACAGAATTCCGAATACTCCAACGAAATTCAGGCAACATCAATGTTCATCATTTCAAGAATATGAATACTACATCGTGAACATACCATATTTATTTGAGAAACACGCACTACTTCTATAAATTACGTGAAAAAAGGAGTGTTGTACGATATTTCAAAAATGTAGGTGCTCAGAATACTATATCTTCATAGAAAATTTTAAGAAATTCAGCAAAGAATCATTCTCAAGAGAAAATTAATTAAACTTGGGTTAAATTAAAATATTGACAATTTATTTCTAAAACTTCGTATTTTTTAAATTTCGAAAAGATGGTGTACGTTTCATTCTCAGGGATAGGATTTTATCAAAATTTCAGGACCAGAAAAACAGGTGCGCGTCCAACTCAAGGGTTCGTGGTACAGTACTCGATTAAATATTGTGCGGTAATTCCGAAGTTCGTCCCAGATACAGCATCCACTAATTCAGCCCTTTCCGAAAAACACCACCAATTGAATCAAAATTACCGTTTTTGACAGATGTCGCACGTGTACGGCTTCTCCCCAGTGTGGATCCTGCAGTGATTAATCATGTTCCCCTTTGACGGCGATCGGAACATGCAAATCCCACAGAAGTACACCCAGCGTCCTTGAATCGTACGTCCACGCCAAATATACTTGTCCACTCGGTTGATCGGATCCTGCATCCATAAAAAAACAAGGACAACACAGTCATCACAAACGTTCCACACACACACGAAACAGACGGTGAGTTACACGTGTAAACATCCTTCATTCCTATAAGAAGAACAGTGACTGGGAAAACGGTCAACGATTTCCGTAAAAATGCATCTTTTCAGCGTATAAATACTGTACAAAAAAACGATCATCAGAAGGGATGCGAATCGGAAATAAACTCAGGCAACACATGCGGGGAAATGGAACAGAAAAAAATATCTGTTCGCCGAGCAGCTCATTACTCGGAACATGCTGGAAAAACTAGAAGAGAGATTATGGACAAGTACCGGGGGAATAGACGACGCCACCCAAGCAGTTCTTCCCGATAAAAATCTCACCTCGAACCCGGTTTTCCTTGAAAAACTCAACAAGCATTCGGAGAGGGGAGAAAACGTTAAGACGGAATAAGAAGAGCACACATGCATGCATACGGATGTTTTTATCCTCTAGGCTTCCGAGGATTTTTAAATGCACGTTTCGGCTGATTATCCCTTGTCCGTGTCCAGTCCCCGAGAGGCCCGTTGGAGAACCATTCCGCATCACTTTTTTTTTTTCTTTTTTAATCTTGAAGACGAAGAGATGAAGTTATCGTATTTATCCAAATCAGCCTGAAACCAGGAGCCCTAAAAGAGAAATCAAATCCTGGCAGCAGACTTCTGACGGGCTTCCTCCGAGTTCGTTCTGTTGCTTCCATGTTCCCTGGTCACACACACACACTTACGCACTCGAAAATGTCTTTAATAAAAAAATTGTCAGCGAAAATTCGAAGGGAAATCTTAGGCTTCCGTGAAAATGCACAAGATGCTGCTGGAATAATAGGAGACTCGAAAAATACAACGTACCCAAGATTTTGGAAAAGCAAACTTTCCGAAGAAAATTTTCCCCAAGTCACCCAGTAAAAAAAAAAGCCTAGTACCGAAAATCTTTCGGTTTTTTTTTTTTGATTATTCCCGCCGACGAGATTCCCACGAATTTCGAGCAAAAATTAGAAACAAAATTCAGCTTTAATCACACAAAAAGGTGTCAGCATCATGTGCATTTTCAAGAATGCTCATTTTATGGAGATTTGACCAGGTTCTTTCCACTTGAATGCATAAAATGGTGTCAACCGGAATTGTCAGACATGCGTAACTTGAAGCAACAACACGAACAAATACAGCGAATTGCATCTCATCAACCCAAACAGAGCCTCATGCGGAATTTACTGAAAAATAGTTTTTCTTTATAGAAAATACTTCAGGCGACATCTACACATTACGAGCAGAAAATCCGCCATGCGGTGACAGTTCAGCATCAGAGTTGAAAGAACCTGTGAAATTCCGGTGATCAAGATTTTTCGTATTCTACTGGAAATATTCAAATCCAACGCACTTCAACGCAAAAATAGGAGAAAATTATGGTAATGATAATGAAAAAAGCGGTCAGGATATTTCTAGTATTCCGTTGCAGCTGGAAAAAACTATTGTCATTTTATTCCACACAATCCTAGGCTTCTTCTGCATATAAACCCTTTTTTCGTTTGCCGCAGCAAAATATAACGTCCCCATCTTTCCTACTGGCACTCATCGCTAAATTGGTTACCTTCCTTTTTTCTTCATCTTTCTTTGCCCGCTACGCAATAACTTTGTACCTCAAACAAACCGTTAATTCGGGCAGCAGAGATTCCGCGCAAATAAAACCGAACACGTTCGCTGCTAATTCGGAAACCACACACGTCTATCACTCCCCCCGAAAACATAACATTAATCACACTTTCCTATGCTGAATCACAAAATGCGAAACACAACTCGTAGCTTCCAACGATTTTCGCCCCCACCAGCTGAAATAACCCTTTTTTTTTACAAATTCGTTCGCTTTTTTTTCCTGAATCGTTTTGCTCAACTCACCTATAGTTTGCTAATGCGGAAGACCCGATTCGATTCCCCCTTTTTCCTTCTCCTCCTCCTCCACCTTCCTTCTTTTTCTCGCGTGGCTTCTTTTTTTTTGCTTCAAATTCTCGCTACAACCCAGAGGAAGCTCTTTAAAGCTTTGCTATGCGAAGACACGAGGGAACTTATTGCTTTTACAATTTCTCCCAGAGCTGTTTTCATTTGGTTCTTACCGAATTTCACAGTGTTTTCGAGTCCACATCGACCCTCAGCAAGAAAGAAAATAAAAATCCCGAGCCCTTCAGCAAAAAAAGTTGAAATTAAATAATCAACAAAATCCGAGCCTCGTTGAAATTGTCATCAATAAAAAATGCATCTACTCCGGGGTTTGTCGAACGACGAGGGAAACGATGTGAACTCGAGCCGTGAAATTGTCCAAGTACCCGATATTAAATATTTCTCCTCTTTTTTTTCTCTCCTCCAAAATGCACTCACTTCGCCACACACCTATTTACTCCCTTACTGACGCTCCAAATTTTTCGCTTGTTACAAAAACAAAACAAAAGAGTCGTATCCTCTCCTGTTTCCGTTTGGTTCCTAGCATCACAAAAACTATACCGATACGTGGCTTCGTTACACCTTCTGCAACGAACTGACATCACCCGGATAATAAAAAAAAACCAAAGCAATAAACGAAAAGCGATTTCTTTTACCGGTTGGTAAACGGATTCGAACTCGATCACGGGCTTTCGTGCTCCGTCGACATTTAAATCATTTGTGCTTCTGCTTCATATCTTGAGAACTGATGATCTTTAAAATGAAAATTGAAAAAAATGACCACTTCGATTGAAAAACTGAAAGAGCAGTGAACCAGGGACACTCGAAACCGCAGAATTTAGAAGCGAAGTAATTTCTTTCTTTCCGAACAGTTTCTCAGCGTCAGAAGATTACTTTTCTAGTTAATGAATGAAATTTCTGAGATGAATAAGTTTGCGCCCTCTGGAAATGAATAGTTGGTGCTTATTTTCTGCGCTTTCAATTGTTTTTCTTGGTCAATAGCGCTGCTACTTTCTTTTGTTTTTTTCCCCCAGCACACCAGAAAGAGCACGAGAGCCCGTGAATCGACGGTAACACTTAAGCAATCAATCAATCATCCCTTCTTTTCTTTTTTTTTTTTCTGCTGCAACCAAATCGGAAGGCGCCACTTTCCTGTCGATATGTCGTCCGTTCCCACCCAACATTTGCCTCATTTAAAATGTACTGTACTACTACTTTCGACGATTTCGTTGTCGTTGCTTCTCCGGTTTCCCTCTCCCGCCCGTCCCCAAGAAGCCCGGACGCTTCCCACTCTCAGACGTCGAATCCCGAGCCAGGAGTGACGACGGCAGCAGCAGCAGCGGCGGCGGCGGCAGTTGCAGCAGCGGCGGCGTTGTTGCGGTTCAGGTGCGTGAGTTTGTGACGATTGGCGGAGGCGAGCTGCGTAAAGGTCTTGGGACAGTATTGGCAGCCATAGGGACGCTCGCCCGTGTGTCGACGGACGTGGTTGATGATGGACGACTTGGCGTACGTGTTGTACGAGCACTGGGAGCAGAAGTAGTGCTTGCGACCCACGCCGGTCACACCTTGCCAAATGCACGAGCCCAGGCGTCGCACCGGCAGCTAAGGTTTTCGTGTGTTGGTCCATGCAAACGAGACAACAACCACCAATTTCGTAGCCCCCAGGCCAGGAAAGAGAGAAGAAAAGCGAGAGACTGACACCGAGAGACAAAAAAATAACAAACCAAAAAAAAGAGAAACCGTTTCGTCCAATTCGCCGAACTTCCGAAATTCCTCGACAATCTGACATTGTTGACTGCGGAGTTCATTCTAATTTGTCACCCACAGATGAAATCCTAAAAATCATCGATTTTAATGCCAAAAATAGGGTTTCACATTTTTAGTTGTCTCACAATGTGAATTGTGGCAAATGAGAAGTTGACCATATTTCTAAAATTGTAGAAAATCTAAAATGATTTTCTAAAATTGTCCTACAATTTTAGAAAATCGCCAGCGAATTACCAAAACGCAGAGGCCTACTTCAAATCTTACAGCGCGAAATTTCGTTGCAACAAAACCCTTGAGACCAAGAAAAATCTTCGTTATAACATGAAAACGTCTTAATAACGAAATGCAAATAACCTTGTGGCTATTGGGAAGGGACCTAAAAGATAATTAATTGTTAGCACTTAGCAGTCATGACAAGATTTCGTGATCTCGAGGTGTTCACATTTAAATTCTTACTCATTCCTTGATTTGAAAATCTTTCGACGTACAATGTTCCAGATTTAATGAGCCTGTTTAAAGAAATAATTGTTCTCTGTATTGGAAATGTAAATGCTTAAGCTGAAAGTCACCCAATAATGTGTCGATTTGCGAGTAAAAAATTCGCACAAAGCAAAATTTCATACAAGAAAATCCTCCGCAAAAAAAAAAAAACAGATGCTTACTCCTCATTTTTCCAATGATCTTGCGAAGGTTCGCAGTACAGCGATCAGAGGATGTAGAATCTTATAAATCCTTCGTTTTAGAATTCGTTGAATATTTGCATATGTATGAACTGTCCATTGCTAAAAACTACTGCGTTTTTCAACAAGGATTTTCACAAAATTAACCCTTCGCATCATCAAGGCAAGCTTCATTGAAAATTGAAATTAAACTGCAGAAAAAAAAATACTCTCATCCAGAAAATCTTCCGGGAAGAATACAGTAACGAAAACCGGAAGAAATGTCAGAGAAACAATATCATTTGAATCAAAATAGAATGATTTTCAGTTACAGAAAATACGAGGAAGTTCACGTCATGAAAAATAAAATAAAATGAACTCGAGACCTGTGTGAAAATACACACATTCGACACCAGACAAATCGTCCGATTGCTTACCCATAAAATCGAAATACTCTAGGAAATCGCTTCAAATTGGTTCGACAAACATCAACTAATCGATCAGAAACGAGACAAAAGCATCGGGATTACTCCGCTAGTCGTGTATTTAATAAAAAAAAAGCCTAAAACAACCATATCAGCGCCGTGGAAAGTTACAGCTTTTTTCCGGAAGGAAGGAAGGAAGTAATGAAAAAATTGATATAAATACTGTATAACAAAGCAGAGGAAATGAAGCGAAGAAGTGATATCAAGCTTGCACCCGGAAATCCAATTCCCACGGTGCGGATAACGCGCAGTTCCAGGTCTCCTGAGCATTGCGAAAAATATCAACAGCTTCATGAAACGTAATGTGGATTTTTTTTAATCTCCTGGAAACTATCTACAACTCACTCCTCGAAACCTTTTCTTCGACTTTTGCCTTCAAAATCCTTCGAATGAATTCTAAAAAAAAACTTCAAGCCGAGATTATGTCACCGCCTCTTGCGAAACTGATCCTTTTGTCTGGAGAATTTCACTGGAAATCGTTCTTGAATGCCTTCTTCACACGATCGCATTAAAAAATAACCACGACGTAATACAGCATCTCTAATGCCAAAGAAGAAAGAAAGCAAGGGCATCAGTTGAATTCATTTTTAGCTGACTTACGGGTTTATTCAGTTACTGCACAGTACTGAACTACTTTTTTGGACAGAGAAAAAGAGTTGCGACGGACGACACTTGAAGCTCTGGTTCACTCGACACAATTAATACGGTACAACGAACTTCTGGGGACTTGACAAAAAGTTTGTCATACTGACATTTTCAGAATTAATGAATGGAAAACATTTCTAAATCAGACCTGCCTATAATCACTTAGATCTTGCTTTTCTGGCAATCTCAATTTTAACATACCTGCCATAATGTCTTTCAATCAAGCCTGTTTTGAGACTGCAACAATGTTATGAAACTTTGCCTGTCCACAGAATTTTTTATTATGATTTCCTGGTCCGAAAAAATGTTATGAAAATTTGCCGGTCCGCGGGCCCAAAAAGGTTGGGGAACACTGTTCTAGACTGTGCTCAGAAAATTTTTGGACTAAGCATTCATCGAAAAGCTTGTTATACTGGAATCGAGAAAGTTCGTTATAAAAAATATTGTTTCAACGCGTAACCTATGGACTTACTGTCGGGAATGGAGAAAAAGTTTGTTACACAGAAAAAATTGTTGCAACGGAATTCGTTGTATCAATATCTTTTGTAGCTTCCAATGACAATACTTTTCAAAGCTTTCCCGCCAGATAATTCCAAATTTTTCTCAATTCTAAGGGAAATTCTTCTCCGGTTTCCGGAGACTGTCGAGAAACGCAAAAATGCCCGTGAATCGGGGACTCATCGTCATCTTTCCCCAATTTTTCGTTCACACAACCCAAGGAAATCAAGGACCCCGTACACAAATCGAAGTCGGACGAATGGACGAAACAGTTCTGCTGAAACAGGGAGAATCAAGAGAGGTGAAGCCAGGCAGCGAATGAACAGCGCCGAGAACGAGATCGGCCATGCAATCCGTCACCTCTCACCGTCACCCCAGGAACCCTCACCAATTTCCAATCAATCAATCAAATCAAACCAAATTTCCTCAGAAAAAATAAACATAAATCAAAGAGGAGGTGGAAAGAGAGAGAGAGAGAGAAATAGTACACGATGTGTCACTCACCGTCGGCGAAATCTCAGGCGGTATGTGCAAAGGGGCGTCCGGGGCCGGGGCGTCAACATTGCCCGCACTTGCATTGCTGTTGGGTCCCGACGGCGCCAGGAAACCCTTCATGTCCTGCTTGTAATACCCTTCTTCGTCGCCCCAGCTCTCATTCGTCTGCGTGAGGGAGAAACAATTAATTTTCCAAATCAAGAATTTCCAACCGTAATTCATGCTGAAATATATAAAAATATCACGATCGAAATTCGGTCAGGCCTCCGAATCGCATCACATCATGGCGAATTTCATCTCCCAAGAAAAAATTCTCACGCCCACCTCAAAATACTGTACAAGATTTTTTTCCTTGATTTACTTTTCGCGATTCGGGGTTATTATTACATCACGATTTATGATCACTTGATTTCAACGGCGACAAAAAAATTTGTACATGAATGATGCGCTAGCTCATCACCAAAAGAAAATTTCTTTAAAATGTGTCCACAATTTTCGGCTCAAGCGTATAAATGTTACGAGATCAAGTAGAATGTAGTTAACTAAATAATTCGTAGAAGAAACATTCTTTTCCGAGCCTGTGTAAAATTGATGGAATAAAATTGAACTCACATTCGCAAACGAACAAAAAATTTTTTTTTTGGGCACAAAAAATAGGTGCGTCTTATACTCGATCAAATGCGTAACGAGATTTCATAAAATGTCGATGAAAACTGAAACAAATTCACCAAGAATTTCAACAGTTTTCAAGCAACTGATCCATAAAAAATCACGAACCAATAATTTAAGCAGGGTTTCCACAAATAATATTTCGACCAATCGGTGAAAATTAGTAACCCATACAATGAACGCCTTCAACTCTGGAAATTCATCACACGTGGGTCTCTAAAATCACTCTACCTCCTCTACCAAATAAACCAGCGCAGTGAAAAAGAAGCTCGGCACATCACACAAATTTCACACCGGATTAGTAGACCCTGTAAAATGTACAGGAAATTACTGGAATCTCGATCCTTGGGCTGAAAGTCATCCACCGCAAGGGTCCCAAATTATTGTTCATAATTTCATCATCTGTGCGAAGAACTTATACTTCACGACACAATTTCCGAGCAAATAAATTCGAAAATGTTCTCACCACAGGGGCAAAACAACCTAAATACGTTTTGAATACATAATTTCAAATCATTATCCATTGATACATAGTATAATTCACTAAGTGTACATTTTAATTGTTCGCAAAAAAACTTCGTTGAGATTCAAGGAATCATTTTGGTTGATTATCTCGTGGCCCATATACAGTACATCGGATGAGTCCAGATAGATAAGCCGTATTTCATTGAGCCAAATTAAAAATCAATCCAGTTTCACCACCTCAGCTCGAATTGGACAAGTTTTGGTGTAGAGGAAAATTCATCGTTTATAACTTTGACTCAAATGGAATTCATATCAACTTTCTCGACGAAACAAAAATTCTTAAAAACCGTACTCAATACAGATGGACCATCTTCAAATTAAAATCGATTGGCCGAACAACCTTGCAGACTTTTAATTGAGAAGAACTCATTCACTGACAGGTCTGGACCACGAAACAATTTTGCATGGAAATGTAACTACAGCATAATAAAATTTTTATGAATTTCGATTTCCGCGGACTCTTTCCCAATTTTTCAAGATACTGTACGTTCGAACCATGCCTTCTTCCTCTGCGATTTTATTGATTTCAAGCCAAGGATTTCTAAACTAGGACACGTGAAAAGAAGTCCGCTTGATTAATTCAAGCTTTTTTCATCAGAATAAATGATGATCTCACCTCTTCGTCCATATTTTCGCCTGTCATTCCGTCTTCGGATTGATACGTTCCATCGTCGCCGTCGTAATCAACTCTCACATGCACCGGCATCGTCAAATCTTCGACGAATTCATGCTTAAGTCCCTTCTGTGGACCGTCATTGCTTGCAGGCCCTCTGTCATCATTCTCGCTTCTGTCTTCCCCACTTACGTTTTCTTCGTTCTGCTTCTGCAATTTTACAATCAATGCTTTCAATCAACAACAGCGAAAAAAAATCGGTGAAAATTCCTCGCAGTAATTCTGAAGAAAATCGGGTGCTAAGAATTTATTTTGAGAAAATTTGATGGACTAAAATTGAAAACGAAGACTTTCCAGCGTGTCTAAAAAATAACCACGTAGTCAGAAATTCGTCAACAACATGATATAATTTTTCAATTTGCTCATTACCCTTGTCTTCGTCTTGGGTTGCAGTCATAAGTGCATTTTTCAACGTCAAACAATTTCATAATAAAATTCGCTTCCTGTTTCTTCCAGTCTTCACAAAAAATTATTGGTTTTCAATAAAATTCAAGAGAATTGATGTAGTTTACGACGTTTCTCATCCGCATTTTTTTTCAATTTCGCAAATTTCGCGCACTTGCTCGTTTCAAAAGAGATTTGAAAAATAGATCGTGACAAATTCAACTGCGCAGTAAATTTATCACCAATAATAAAATTACGGCAGTGTTAACTCTGATGAAAACTTATTGAAAAATTTAACTTCTTTTTAAATAAATTGAAAATAACTTTTGGATACGAGTGGGAAACAAGGAGTTTCTGATTTCATGCAGAGCAAATAATACTATTGCATTTCCGTGGAAGGATTAATTTTTTCTAGCTTCGCTCGAAAACTGCGTAAATGTTTCGATGGCCTTTCTCGAAGATGTAGAGATCAACGCTTTTTCCCTAAAGGTTGGTCGAATTAGCTTCATTCATGCATCTACTTGGTCTCGGAATCGAATAAAATTGAGTCTCGAGGAAATTCCGATACTCGTCTTAAGTTTTTAAAATTAATTTGAAGAAAAATATATTCAGCCAAAATTACCTCCGAGAGATTACTTGTGCATCACTTTTCTCTCGGAAATCTTTACATTACGTGATCCCAGAAAAAAATTGGGCAGAGTTTTCGATTCCACGATAAAAAAAAAAAAACTGGAATCTATATTTTTAAATTGCTCAAACACCCATAACACCTACAGTAATTGCATACATACATAAAATACAGACAAGAATGCAATATCACACTCAAACTTACTCTTTCGCAATCCACAGGATGAGGAGAACGATCTTCGCCGTTCTCCGGCTGACTCGAATTGTTCGTCGCGTCTTCGGGTTCCGACGGGTTGCCGGTGGGTGGGCTGGGTGCGATGTTTTTCAACAAAGGAATGGCTTTCGGCTGGTTGCCGGCCCAGTCCGCGTTGTCCGAACTAAATTCTTGAGATTGAGACGTCGACACTGGGTTCGGATTCTTCCTTCGCTTCCCGCCAGACTGGTGGTTCATGGCGGCAGCGGCGGCGGCAGCAGCCAAGACGTTCACGTTGCCCAGACCATCTGAGCCTTGTTGAGCCGCCATCATGAAAGGCAAGTTGCTCACTTGGGGAAATGAGCTCATGAACGTGTTCCTAAAGGCTTGGATACGAGATAGCGCCGTTTGCGGGTCAAACGGGTCGTCGGAAGAGTTTGTCGTCCGTTCCTGGTTCATCTTCAGTCCTCGGATCTCTAAACTCTCCGCGAACCTGTGCAAAAAAAAGTCATTCTCAAAATTAGCAACGAAATACATTTATAATTCAGCCCTCGTAACTAAAATAAATCTGCTCCAGCATGCGCGAAGTGCTCGAGATTTCCAAATACATCATCCAGATAATCCTTCAAAAATGAGTCCATGAACCTCTTTTCGAATAAGAATGGAAAATACTGGTGACAGATAAACTCGAACATAATTCATGAACAAAACTCCAAATGCAAGAAAGAAGAAAAAAATTAAAAATTTTGAACTGAAACAACTCCAGTTTACAAGATCTCAGCCCGTCGAGGCGAAGCAAACAAAAATGATCGAAGTAACTAACCTGATGAACTCTGGTAGAACCGAGCTCGGTACTTCAACTTCACCATTGTACATGAACTGGACGGCCAACTGCAGCAAGTTGAAACTGACGTCACGAAAAATGAGCACAGGGAAGCGCGTTTCATTGATTTCGCTTAGGATGCCGTCGAAATAGGCGCTACAGGCGCATAATATAAGTTTATGAGCGCGGATCGACCCGTCGCCGCAGGACAACGTGACATCGGTGAACGCATGACGATTCCGAAGATTCACGAACGCTGAGAACGTCTCCGAATGATGCGAGTGCCATCGCAGTTTGAAATCGTCCTCCATTGTTTCTGATTCAAATCAATCTTCAAACGTCCCGGTCCCAGGATTCTCCTCAAAACCGGAACTTGCTTCCGGTACAAAATTACGTATTTCACAAAGATTTTTTTCGTTGATACGTTCGGTGGATAGTTGCGGTGGGGAGGGTAGAGAAAGAAGTTAAGAACTGGAAGACAAGAACATAAAGAAGGAAGAAAGGTCAACAGGGTTTTCTCGGAGGGAGAGGACAGATGCTTCCGAGTGATGATGAACACATGACCTGAAAAATAACACGCATTGCGGAGAGTTGATTCACTTGAAATTCATTACTCTCGAGCACAAGAGGCAAAAAAAGTGACAGGCTGTCACAAAAACTGCAGTGCAATACACAAACGCACGAGCAACTTTTCCACATTCAAGCCCAATCTGAGCGGGCTGATCAATTTCAAACAAATCGAGCTTCGCATTCACTGATCATCACGCATCATCTGGTAATTCAACATCGATTCGACGATCAACGCGATCGAAATCACCGTTTCTCCGTATTTTTCCCGCTTCACCACTAAGCGAGGCTTATGCTTACGGAAACTAATCAAGCGAAAGAGCATGAATGGAGGACGCCATTTATTTTGAAGGAGGCTCGAATTATTTGCGCTGTTTTACTCGGCGATGCATCAGGCTTTGGAAGGACATACGATAAATCTACCCATTTACAGCAGAACATTTCTCACATGATTTCGTGGCGGCAGTCAAGGTCTTCATGTAACTTTAAATGCATTTACGATTTTTAATACAATTTTATTTATTCTATATTGCCGATTCATATCACCAAAGCAAAGATCTTGTCTATAAACTGTTGGAGTCATTAATTTGTCACAATAATATTCATTTTTTTTCAATTTCAAAAGCATTCATGCTAGGGAAAATGTAATGTATACGTTTCTAAACAAGTTTGGCTTCATTTTCCTATTGTTACGGCATTATTCCTCACAAGTCTGGTTGGAGGTTGTCTCAAAAGAGAGCTGTGCTGGGGCTCATATATATAATGTTCAAAATCAAAGAAAAAAGGGCGTATATATAAATAATATAGACTATGATCAATAATTCATTCTACAATGAATGGGAGGGGAAATATTCGATTTTTTGAAACCGGCACAACACTATATAAACAGCATGACATACATCAGAAGAATATTCGAGAGTATAGGAAAGTTTTGAATTCAATAGATAAGTGGTATATAATGAAAGAGCAAGGACAAATCAACAGGAAAGCCTATGCATATTTGTTTATTATATTCTGGGACACCGGGTCAATGGCTTTCAACAGATGAATGAAATGCTTAGAACAACAAATATACACAAGGAATTAAGGATATATTTTCTGACATACAGTATTTGTAATCAGTCGTCCGTCATCTCTCAAAAACGCCCCACCTATATTTAAACCTTCTTAAAAGGTGATTGTTGAAAAAGCAACATTTTCTCAAAAAGAGTCACATACTGAAAAGAAAAACAGCATTTAGTGTCAAATTGATGGTGACTATATATTTTACCATGTAAAATATTTAAATTAAGTTCCTTATTGAAAATCCCAGATTTAAATATTGGGAAGACATTTTGAAATAATGCAAAGCAGTGCAGAAAATGATTCTCACCAGCAGCAATATTGAAATACTGTACTGTATATGTAGCCAGGTAATCCTTGATAATATTTTCATACATTTAAGACTTTCTTGGAATTGCAGCATGCTCCAAAATTATAGCTCCATTTCATGAATATTGTAGAAAAATTACGATGGTGATAACTGATAAAGAGGTGAAAACATGTATACATCACGCATGCATGAAGGGTCATTTCTGTAAAATTGTCAATATTAGATTCGTCTGCTTCTCATATATATAAACATTTCTTGGTAACAATAATACAACACTTCTGATCTGCAAAATGTCTGACATATGCCAACATTAATTTGAAAATATACTGTATTTGTTTTTCAGATCATATTTCTGAATTTACACATTTCATCAGTGCTCTCGAGTATAATGGCTTTTTCTCCTTTACATATATGCATACTTTACTGCGTACATCACTTCATATCCTGCCAGAAATTCTCATTTCAACGTGAACAACCAACGCAAAAAAGTCATCACCTTTCAGAGGAGTCTATATAACCACCATGCAGCAGCAAATGCGGCTCATACAGTATATACATTACTGTACTTGTAAACTGAAAAACACCTATTTGTAGAAACAGGAATGGAATAACACAGTATTTAAATTGTTTGAACTGCTGCAAGACAGTTACTTTTTGAATGTATATTCGTCTAAATAATTTTCATCATGTGTATAAATAATATACTGTACACCTTAAACCACAATTCTTCTACTGCAGTTATTATTCCTGCATGCAGACCTGTTTTGAATATGGTATAAAGCATATGAGGTTCGTCCAAAATTGTTATTTTCCCCTTTTACAAATTAAAATTTGTTTTCTCCTCTCTATCTTGTTCCACAGATAAGTCCCACAGCACCTGCTGCAGTATGCATCAAAAATATCCACCATGCCACTGAATTCAGGTATCACAACTCAAAGGAATGCATTTCACGCATAATCTCAATAACCACGCCCACCAGCAAAAACTGAAATTTTCAAGCACAAGCGCATTCAATAAAACACCACTGAAAAAAAAAAACACATGATCAATAAAAGCTCGGCAAATAGGAATCATCACCCGCATGAACCCAAAAAAAATGTGGGGAAAAAAAGCGAAAAACAGGTCTCGTCCTCGGACCCACGTACATCCTATAAATAAAAGCGCTTCATCAATAACCATGTGAGCCTTGCCCAAGGGGGTTCAACGCGAAAAGGGCGAATCCAGGCATTTGAATTCTCATTCGACTTCCAAATTTCTCGATATTTTTCTTCGTCTTTCCTGACTTGTCGCTATCGTAGCCCCAAATCCCCGCGTCGGCTCTGATGATGTCCACCATCAAAGGTCAGCAAAACTCATCAGAAAGTTTTCATGAAGAAGCCACGGGAATCCGCAATAAATTAGACGCCTCCCTCGGACAAACAAACCCTCATTTCTGGAATATGTCGGGCAGATGTCGCCTACATCAAGTACACAGGGAAAATGTTACGTTACCTTATGATATGTAGTACAAGCGACACCTACACAATGACGAAGAAACATACGGAATGAGGGAAATCCGGACGCATTCACTGAAACTTTCCAGTTAAACATGGTGGGTTCAGAAGGCGGGATCAATTATTTTTCCACCAGAGACAATATTTTCCACCAAGTGCTTGATGCCATTTTTCGCGACTTATTGGCTTCAGTCCATTTAGCAGAAAACCATTAAATTTAAGACTCGTCTTAATTTAGGGCTAACAATGAGGTGAATTAACTTGAAATAATAATTTAGACCACATAAAAATTCTGGCGGAACTCTTCTACAAATTATAAAGCATAAGGGAATCCAGAATTTTGTAAAGCGAAAAGAACAACAAATATTTTACTTTTCAATGAGAGTTGGGGAACGTATTTTTTACGGAATATTCTTTTTTTTAATGTTTTTCTCGAATTCCAGCGAAAACACTGTTCCGAGAGAAAATTGGCCAAGAATTTCTTATTATCCGAAAAAAACGCAGAAAATCGAACGAACATAATTCGGTACACAGAAATTGCACTTGAAAATAATAATTCGGTAAACATCAAAATGATGACATAGAAAATCAAAGAGTCAGGGATTTCGGCTCATCATGAATGAAAAAATTGAAAAATCAGCGTGATTAACTTACAAATCATGGCAACTTTCTTTCGGGTTCTTTTCCTCAAGTGTCCTTGAGAAAATTATTTCAATTATTTTTCAAGATTCCAAAATAAGCAAAAATTTCTCTAGACAAAACAAAAATGATAAAATTTTCAAAGGGCTCCAGAACAGAGGTAGATTTCCCGGAAACTTTGCGGTTCGCCCCCCAGCACTGGGATACACAAGAAATAAATGAAAATAAGGGACGCGAGAGCGATGATATCAACAGCATACTGCTCACAGAAAACGAAAAAAATTCCGCCTACAGACGTCACAGCCGAACTACAACGGAAAAAATCTTCGGGAGATGTTATTATAATACGTGACCGACGTCTGAAAGTGTGACCGACCTTAAATGAAATCTGATTTATCGATCAGGATTGTTATAAGAATTATGATAGCTGACACGAACTCATACCCTTTCTTTTTTTGAGTATGAAATATAAAAAAAAAAGTTTGACAAATAGGTGGCCCATATTTCCATAAAATCGTTGACGTCTGCGAGATGCCCAATACATTGAAACCCTTTGGGTTAGGTACATACTGTACACATTACTCCGTTTAATTGCGTATAATCCATATTCAATTCATCATCACTCATATCAAATAAATCGTGTATTGCGTTAACTTATTATTCGAGAGTTGATTCTATAGGATTATCACAAAAATGAATGATTTGTCAGGAAAGTTAAAATTAACGAACTTAGAAATGTCAATAAAACATTCATCACAAGAATAATACAAGATTTTGCACGCGATTTTCAATTGTCCGTCAACCTCTGATAACAAGCCCACTGTATTTTTATCCCTTTTCAGACAGGCATCACATAATGTACAATTTATTTTGAATTTAAATTATTAATAGTAAAATAGAAAAAAATCAATCATTGCGTGAAGCTCCCAAGAATTTTGGCTAGGCTAGGCTTATATTGTACAAAACCTCTTTCATTCCATCAGCACATTAAAAATATTTAAGCGTCAGGAATTATAAAAAAACAATTAAGCACTCAACTTTGAATTATCTGTCAACTTTTTTGCTTACTGCCTATTGTATCACTATTACGACTAGTGTCATCCGCAATCATTTCTTGTGAAGTGAAATTAATTTTGAATTACATACAAAATGCACTTAAAATGAGTCGGGCATTATCTGACGGTAATTCGAATTCAGGCTAGACCAGGTTTAGATACATATCTTAGGAAACTCTCTTTTATTCCATTCAAGTCAGTTAGAATTAATTTTAAACGTCAATCACAACTTACAAAAAACATGTTGACTTAATTTTGCTTTGTCTCTTACTAATCTCTGCAAATGCCATTTGCCTTTTTCATCGCTTTCCAGATAGCAATAATTTCACCTATGATTCATTACGAATTCATATTTTTAAAAGACTGAAACATGAGAAGACAAGCTAGTTAGAATTCAGGTTGGGCTAGACTTAGCAACAACTTAGAGAAGCGTAAATCACAAAAGTTACAAAAAACAAAATGCAATAAATTTTGCACTGTCTCTTCATCTCTGCAAATGCCCATTGCCTTCCTTGTCCCTTTCCAGACATCTATAATTTCACGCATGATTCATTCTGAATTTAGATTTTAAAGCAATTGATACAGGAGAAGTCAGGCTAGTCGGAATTTAGATTGGGTTAGACTCAGCTACGATTTAGAGAAACCTCTTTCAATATTCCATCGCGATCAGAGGTAGAAAAATCAAAGATTACTTGAATAACACGATCGCGGAATTTTATCAACGTCACGCACGTCGTCGGTCACGCACTATATACATACAACAGTACCCCCGAAAATATTTCCCTTCCCTTCTCTCTCTCTCTCAACTGCATTATTATTTCGCCTCGCTTAATCGTCGTCTCTAGGAGCTCCGTCGCTTATTTATTCGCCGACCGAGCAAATCGTAGCTGCCGAAAGTACACTTCCGGTCGCTCAAGTACGGCACGTAGAAGGACCGGAACAACTTTGAGGACTTGGGCGCGTCCAAAAACGGGGCAGAGTGAAGCTTGATCCAGGTTGACAAGTCCCTAGAGTAACACGGTTCTCTGGCTGACCCGCAATCGTCGTCTCCCGATGGGTCGTAATCGATTATCAAGTCACACGCCGACTCATCAACGTACCTATGCGAAAGGAAGGGACAATTTATAATCGAGGATTCTTTTTTGACACAATTCAGGCATTCAAATTCAAGTGCGCCATTAAAAAAAAAGAAAAATTGGGAGAATCGAGGATGAGGTGGGATTGAAATACTGTAAACACGGTGATTCACGCGCTATTATTTATCGCGAGAACCGCAAAAAAGTGAAGGCGTCACACCCTGATTTATAAGACAGGCATTTGACTTTTACGATACGAACATGTCGCAATAAAGAGCAAATTTGCGAGCTAAAAAAAGGAATAGAAAAAACTGAATTTGGTGCAGTTTTTCCAACATAATACATGCACACTCACATATACGAAATACAATACAGCCGTATATTTTTCTTCTCGAATTTCAAGGGTTGCGAAAAAAAAAAGAATTTGGGGGGAGGGGGCTTCGACTTTTGAAGGTTTCGAGTCACAAAAGCAATGATTTTTGTTTTGGGGAAACAAAGAAGAATTGCAGGACATTGTAAATGGCTATATTCTGGGCCTGAAATTGCTTCTTATAAATGAGTTGACAGTAGGATGCTAAACTTGGACGCAGGGGTTCATCTGCCCGATTAGTCTTTCACGTCCCATCAAAATACATTTTGATAGCTTTCCTATTTCCTGTTCCCAGAAAATAATAGCAAAACGGGACACAGAAAATTCGACTTACGGAGGTTTCAGAGGAAAAGTCTCTAAAAGCCAATTTTTTTTTATATCAATTCGACTTTGGAGTTGTTCGAGTTATCGCGGATTTTTTTTTTAAATAACAGACGGGGGACATTGCCAACGCTGATTTTCAATTCTCTCAATCAGTCATTTTGTTTTATCCATCATCACAAGTGCGACAAAGTTTACAGAAAATGAACGGTAATTCATTACTGTACTGTACCTTGATTCCTCCTCCTGATTCCTGTCATTCATTCCGGTCGGGATGATCGAAGTCGCGTTGATCCCGGCTTCGTAGTGCTTTGGCAACAATCCGCGGAACTCGGAGTGCAAAAATTCCACCCTCCACTTCCGAGACGGAAGGAAAAACGAGGACGGGAACCGGTGCCATTCTTTCCCAAGGCACAGCGTCGTGTTCCGTTCCGCACTCAAGTCAACAACGTTTTTCTCGGCTCTTTCCCCTCGCGCCAGTTCTCCCATTTCCATATAAACTTCCAACGCTCCGTGATAGCCTAAAAGAAAGAAAGAAAAAAGTAATCATGCAGTGCTGGGACCCCGTGAAACGAATGATTCGACTTGGGGGACACTTTTGAGCAAAAAAAAAAAAGATAATTGCGCCCTGACGTCCAAATGTCTCAAGATATGGACACTGCCAACATGCAGCATAGACAAATATAACATTTTAATTTTTCCAAACCGGGATGTCTCTTGATTAAACTGAGGCATCAATATTCAAAAAAATGCCAACTGAAAGCTCTATATATAGACTATTATAGAGCATAGAAGGTCCCTCGCCAACAAGGGACCTGCTCTTAACCTTAACCAGATAACCAAAAAGATAGTCAATTATTCTCGAATCTATCCAAAATCATGAATTTACTCCAATTCATAATCCAGAACTTGCTAATTTTGTGATTCTTATTTGTAAAAGAGGACTGTCACATTATTTAAAAAATATTCAAAATTAATTATATTACAAGTGTACTCCAATTTATAATCCAGAACATGCTAATTTTGTGCCTTTTGTTCAGAGATTTTCCATCATCTGCTGTGCACGGAAACCGATCCCTTGGATTAAGGCTTGTTGTTTAATTGCTTTTGGAGATCTGTGTTCCACCATGACAAAAGATCAGATTCTGAGTGGTTTTCTTCTGCCCAGTTTATTTTCCGGATCTTGAAGTTGAGTTGAATTTCTGTGACATTTTTTTGATGAACAGGAAACCTATTTACATTATGCTCTCAATGAAGTCCATGGGGAAAAAGTAATTTTGCCATTGAAAATTTTAAAAATCTATATAGGAGATGCGCCCCTTCAAATACAGTTCAGTATATTACACTTCGAGCTTCATTGAGCTACATAAATTTTGTTCATTTGTTGATGGAACAGAAATTACTGTACTGTACATGAAGTTACTGTACTAGGAGTGAATAAATGGAATAAAACGGGTGGAGCGACATCTCTGAAAATTCCATGACATCAGGACTCAGGGGGGAGAATAAATACGGTACATACGTCATACAGTATAATACAGTCCATGAAAAGCACCACTGTAGTTTTAAACTTACATGAAGTATCCAAAAGGTTACCGAGATGGAAATAAATGTTCACAATGCAATAATTTCTTTCGCGACGACAGAGGATTTTGCTGAACAGCACTGAAAATTTGCTTTCACAACTATGAAGGTTTTAATTTATGATACAGAGAATTTACTTCGGTACAGAACAATTTAGAACACAATAAATGGGCTCCACTAAAGAAATACAAAACTCTATTGTCAGCCAATTCTCAAAAGTTCTAAAATATATTGTCGACATATACTCGTAAATTGGAAATTCAACGAAGACTTTATGAAGACATTAGGTAAGGAAATCGGATAAGACATCGACAACTGCAATAAAACACGGAACTTCGAGATTCACAGAAAAGACCTACTCATTCAAGCACGGGATTGCATAAGAAATAAGTTTTGGAAATGTCTTGCCTTTTTATCTGGCTTCTATATACTGTACTCGGTAAAACAAATCACTGTACAAGGTCAAGGCCCTTCCTTTTTTCTTTCTTCAAGGATTTCAACCATTCTCAAGACTTTGGGATTGTCCTTGAAAAGCGTGAAAATCAAACATTGTGAGATTAAAATTTTTCAACAAGGAATTTTCTTCAAGCTTTTCAATACCTTTCAAAACTGAATTCTGTTTCAATGTCCCTGCCTAAATTCCCTCAGAAATAATGCATTAAAAACAGCCATAACTTGAATGCTTTCCTCCTCTATAACTCTTTTGTAACTCAGAATTTTCTGGAGGCCTTTTGGCTATTATTTTATTGGAACAGGAAAAAAAGTAATACAAATGTTGATTGATGTACTGTATGCTGAAAGGAAGTGAAAGACTAATTCAGCAAATGAACCCTTGCCTCCAAGTTCAGCATCTTCTCAATACTCATTTGAGAAACAATTTAAGGCCAATAATATCATCAATTCAAATTTCCCTTCAATTCTTCTCAAAAAAATTCATGTTTCCCTAATTTTAAACCTCCCAACACGAATTCGTTTGCAGGTTCCTTGAAGTTCGCCTTTAAAAGATTCATATACATCTGTGGAAAACAGAGTTCCCAAGCAAATCGCAACTCTTTCAAAGATTATTTCATTGACGCACACAAATTAACAGAAGTATAAAAGTTCAGAAATATACTGTACAAACCTTTGTACACAGCAGCGACCCTCGAAACGCTCAGCAAGGTCGACACGAGCAGAAAAGCCACCGGGAACCACTTGATCCCTTCGACCGCCTTCACCTTAATCGTTTTGAAGTCGCTCAAGTGTCGGTTAATCAGGTCAGACGCCAAGTTCAAGGCACTCTCAACCGTCATGGACGCCGCGAGGCAAATCAATGGGTAGATAGGAAACAAAAATCTCTCTTCCTGCAAAAAAAAAAAATTATGAAGCACGGTTATTTTAACATTTTGTATAGCATATACAGTATTGACTTCTGTAGTTTTACTTGAGCTCGAAGCAGGAACAGAAATTTGAATTTTTTTTTCGTCCACTGAAATACAGTATTTCCAGCAGATTGAGTCTCAGTTTTGAATTGCGTTCGACTTGAAGTTCTTTTTCATGAGCTTATTTTCCCATTAACGCGGCGAAAATTGACCAAAAGAAAACATTTTCTCTGATCTTTTCTAGGATTTCGAACTTGCTTTTTTCCTCGGTTTCAACAGGATTCAAGCTCATTCTTTTCTCCAGAAAAACGCAAAAAATCTCGAGTCTCTTTCAATTTCCCAACGCGAAATCTATCAACAATCGCACTAAATTTCCCCATTTTTTCCAACAATTAACAAATCGTACAAGTACAGTATTATCAAAATTTTAAACAAAAGACAATTGTTTACCTTGTGGGGTTGGCTGAAGAAGATCAAGATCCATAAGTACATTCCCATCAATGCCAACCAAACAGGAAGAGCCTGCGTGTCTTTCTTCGGGCCTTGGAAAGTCCTCTCGAATGTCTAAAAATATTTACGATAATGTTAAAATTAATAAAAACCAGCTCATATTCATTTCCCATACGGTTCCAAATAAACCCCACCGTTGTGAACAGATAGTTATTAAAGCAAATAGTTCGACAACAATAGTAAAATCTCGTTACAACGAAACCATTCGGACCAGGAAAAAAAGCTTAATCATATACAGTATCATAAAAAATTCGTTTTACAGAATTGCTCATCACACCTGCGGCTATTGGAAATGGGTCTAAAATTGATTCAACTGGGAGCAATAATCTGTTATAACGAGATTTCGCTGCACTGTACATAGATTTTATCAAATGAAATACCAGTTTTTTCTTGGCTTGAAAGAGCAATTATCAACGTAAAAATGCATACAAAGTACTGTACTGTACAGCAGAAAATGCAACCCTGAACAATGAAATTAATGAGATACTAATTGATTTCCCTAGCTGCTTCCAGACTCGATTTCTCGGTGTTTATTTTCGTTTCGAAAATTGACGAGCACAATTAAAATAAGACTTACCACGATTGGCAGAGCAACCAGAGCAGCCAGGAAAGCGATGTTCATATTGAGAAACCCGTTCAACACGTAAAACGAAAGGGGCTCAACTCCGTACAGCTCAGACCCAGAACCCAAAACGTTGTATTTAATTATGTTCCATGACGCAATCACCAATTTCCCGTACATGTATGAGTCCAGGTTTGTCATAGGCGCCTACAAAAATAGTAAAAAAAAATTTTTTTCGCCAATTAATGCAAAGCAATTTACGTGACACCATTGAACATACGTCGATCAACACGAACACTCACCAAGATGACCAACAAGCTGATGACGCTCGCTTTCGTGAATCGCCAGATCAGTTGCTTCCGAAGCAACACATCAACAGCAATTGGAATTCTACGAAAGCCAAGCAAGAAAATTCTGTTTGAATAACACTTCTCCAACAACAAAAAATTCCCGAGACTCTTGTACCACGCAAAAAAATTCTTTCAATAAATTTTTCAGGTATTTTATCACATTTCTCAGTCAGATAATCCTTCTGGGTTCATGGATAAACAACAAACCTTTTCCCCAGTTTTCCTGAATTGGACAAAAAATCTTGCTCATCTTTCATTTTATTCAGGACAACTTTCAGATTACATTTCCAAGATTAGAATGCTTCCAAGATTACCAATATGAAACATAGTTATGAATTCTTGGACATTATTATTACTCAAAAGACTAGAAAATAAAGGTACTTTTTTTTAATCCTGCGTGAAAGACGATAACCACTAATTTTCTTTACTTGAAGTATAATCAAAAGAATATAAATTCGCAGAACTATTTGCATGCAGCATCACATTTGGTAGAACATTAGGTCAATTTCTGACATATTCGTCCAAAAATGAAGCATACCGTATTTACTCAAGCACCATTTGAAAGTAAAACGTTTAAAATAAAATTGCAAACTTTTGCTGGTGCAACTCATACTTGATTCCAACGGGGAATTTTATCACGAATTTCTCCCAACAACTCAAAAAAATGGAAAAGATTCACATTTAACATGCAATTTTACTAAAATTAAAGTCAAAGTAAAATTATGATGCATTTGATTTTTAAAAAAGGTCAATTACAGTTTATAATACTGTAATGGGGTGAGTGTCTAACTTGGGGTTACATTTTCTATCCGAAATTTATCTTGAAAATTTGGGGTGCATGCCTCTTTACTTAAGAGCATGTGGTATACTCAGGCAAATACAAAATACAGGTGGGATCTTCCAACAACTACCATATTTACTTGGGTAGCATGCACCCTCAAGTGAGGCACGCACAGGAGTTTTTCAGTTGGAAATTTGGCTAAAATCTTATCCCTGAGTAAGACATGCACCCCAATTTTTAATGAATCTAAAGCCACAAAATTTCAAAAATAGAAACAAATAATTGACTTTAGACTTGAATTGAACAAAAATCTGATCAATTTTCAACTTTTTCAGTACAAAAAAGTTTTCTTGTCACATTTTTTTCCAAATTTCTCCATTATAATTAAGTATAATGCACACATAACTTCCTCAAACTTCTTGAAAACATTTGTATCCGCTTATGACGCGCACCCCTTTTTTTCTTCTGAAATTTGAGAAAAAAGGTGCAAGTGGTACTTGAGTAAATATGGTATATTGTCTACAACAATATTCTCCGTAGAACAAGTTTTTTTTTATGGTCTCATATGGTTCTCTCCACAAGTCATAGGGGTTCTCTACAACGAAAGGAGGTCCTTCGATTTTTTTTGCAGAGAACACACTAAAATTGTGGAGAGAATCCTACGGAACCAGCATGCAGAGGCAAAATTTCAGCGACGAATCTTTTTGTAGTTCCCTGACTTGTGTTGTAGAGAGAGTCCACCTGCAGGGCTAATAAAAGAAAATTCCGCGTGAGAAAAAAATCCCGCGAGGCCTAAAAATCTTGCGGGGTACAAAAATCCCGAATAAATGTGAATTACATGCATCTAAAAAAGCCATTCGTGGTAAAGGCACTGGTTTGCATAGTGAATTTAGAAGTACTGTATCAAACAAGTAAAAATTTAGTTTTGGAGTCAAAAATTTAATTTACCAGGTTTCTACACTGGAGTCCTCAAAATAACTGTAAAGTGAAATTTTATGAAGTTCTACGCTTTCAAGAATGCAGAAGCCCGGATTGGCTGAGTTCTACCGTACATTGTACTCAGTGGGGATTTCGCACCCTGCAAGATTTCATGTCCCGCTAGATTTTCGGACCTATCCGAGAATTTTCGAGCCGCGGGGTTTTCTTCAGCACCCCACTTGTAAATACACTGACGAAGATTAGGAACCAATACTGCGTGTTCCTTTCGGGTTCGTCAATAGTCTTACCCTAGGATCGCTGCAAACGGCCAGCCCAGCAATGCGGAAATCGCGACGGAAACGACGGCCAATTCGTACAACCCATTGAACCAGGCTCCCATGGCCAACATGGTCAGATACATGGAGAAGGACGAAGGCAAAAACGCTGTTGCGGCATGAAACATTCCAGCACTGGACAGGAGCAATCCGAGAGTCATTCGTCCACATCTTGCACCGAATCTTTCCTTGATCCCCCTATTTTTTTTTTCATGAAAGAAAAAACCATCTTATAATCCAGAATATTTTTGAATGGTTTTTCAAAAATGTTTGTATATGTTGTTTCAATACTAGAAATAGAAAGTAATTCCATGCTCAATCATAAAACGATGTGAAACTCTATGAATGCCTAGTCACGGACGACAACCCGGATGAATTTCGTATTTTCGATTCATCAGATCAGCTGACATTAATCTGTTTGCGATTGTCAAATCGTGAATATAGACGAGGAAAAAAAAATGTTTTCCAAAACCCATCGCAAAAGATTATGTAGAAAATTCCTCGGCATGATTGAAAAATACAAACTTTCACGCCGTGAACCGTACAAAATTCTTGGTAATCGAACAAAGGTAATTCTTGAAACAATTTAGGGATTATGAGTCTTATCTTCCGGAAGCCAAACAACTCTCTTTTACACATGGACAAATAATCCCTGAATTGAGGTAGGCAACACAGCCTTGAAAACGTTTCTGAAAATATTTTAGAATTTCCAGGTGGTCGTTCGGAGTTCGGCATCGGATCCCCCTCCCCCCCGTGTTATATACAGTAAATCGTTTCTCCCAATACTGTACTTTCCCCACCGCGCGACAAGATCATGTCTCACTCAAATTTGACTTTTAAATATAGCTGGGATATAAATTCATTCTCTATCAAATGCACACGCAATGAAGAAGGATAACATTTATGTGCTGTACTGATGATCAGTTCTTACATTAAAATCTTGTTCCACAAGTAAAGGGGACAAATAAAAAAGCTTTCTTTGAAAACCAAAACTATTCCACATAGAAGCTTAAAAAAGCATTGCGCATATTGGACAAGGGCATAAAAAGCATAATATTCCATGCAATAACTGTTATAACTCAATTATACTTTATGTGATGCCTTCTGATTCTCACAACACCAAAAGAAATTAATAAATGCTGAGAAATAGAAGCTGCAGTATAAGGAATGTATGTTTTTATATACTGTACAGGTATTTTCCGGTATACAATGGTTGCTCCATGCAACATACAGTATGAACACTTTTCTGAATTCCTCAGTAGTGTAGAACAATGATTTAATTTTTTGAAACAGTTGAGTTGTTCCATGATTCAGAGAGTAAAGAAAAACTTTTCACATACTGTATATGTTTCACAAAGCCCACGAAGACAAGAACCTGAAAACATTAGAAATACTACATTACTGCCATTTTCTGGTCATTCAATTAGATTTGAAATAATGTATATCCTGACACCCCTGTGGGAACAAAGTTCATATTAAAAAAAAATTGGTAAAAAGCTCTCACAGTTTGGCTTTCTGAAACATGAGAAGAACAGCGAACATCCAGAAATGAAATGAAAAATACCTGATGGAAATGTCATAAGAAAATGCCATGAGAAAACCTGCAATACACCAGTGTGAACTTACATCCTTTTCTTGCATATGGCCCTGAGGGGCTTCAGATTGCTTTTTGAATGAATTGGAAGGATGCCTAACTTGGAGGCAAGGGTTTATTTACAAAATTAATCTTTCCATTCCTTTCAAAGCACATCAAGTGACATTTTAGTAGCTCTTCTCTTTCCTGCGTCAATAAAATAATAGCCAAAAGGCCTCCAGAAAATTCAATTACAGAGGTTCAAGGAGAAAAGCCTCTCAAGTCAGGGAGGTTTTTAATGCATTGCTTCTATGAGAAGTAAGACAGGGACTCGAAAAATAATCAAAGATGGAGAGGTATTTGACTTGGGAAGGTTGAAGTTATCAAGGTTCAACTGTACTTTGCATTGCCTTTTCTATGCCTCAAAGTTTAGTCATTTATCATTTCTTTCTTGACCCATTTCCTCTCCTGTAACTTGATTCTTGCTTTTAAATCAAATGGATTTAAATTCTCCAAATTTACCACCTATGGCTCAAGATCTCTTATGGATGTTCTATAAGTGCCTGGAAGGTTTAGATATTCTTCAATGACAGAACAAGTGGACTCTCTCTTTCTACAACAAAACTCAAGGGATCAGAAATAAAATTATTGCAGAAAACCTCTATTACATGGAGAGAGAGAACCCTTAGGTTAAACAAAGAATCTATTATTCTGAGAAAATTGTTGTAGACAAGATCATTGTAGAGAGTCCACATGTATACCCTGTTGTGACTCAAGTCTCTCTCCACGGACCCACCCTGTATCCTGGTATATTACTGAAGTCAGATGACATTTGTACTGTACACCCCCCCCCCCCAAAAAGAGGTCAACTTACGAGTAGAAATAAACTTCGCAGAGGGCACATGCGAACCCCAACACGCATCTGAGAAAAAAGAAGACAAGCATGGGGTTCCATTGAATCAACCAGGCGTAGCACAGGCCCGGGAACGCGTGCAATGCCACATAGGCATAAGATCGCAGCGCGTATTCCGGCGAATATTCCCAAGTCTGGAACCCGAACCCGTAGATAAGGAAGTGCGCGGGTTCCCAGTAATTGTACGTTTCGTCGCAATCCGCAATCCCGTTCCACACGGCTGATGCGAGTCGGATAGACACGAGCACTTTGAAGGCCGCGAAGCAACCAGGGGCCCATTCACCATCTCCTTCCTTAAATCCGTGGTTGCGGAGGTGTTGAACTGTTCTGCAAGACGGGTACGAAGAAAAGGGAATTCGGCACCCGGGTTTTCGCACTTTCGCGTGCGTACTTCGAATAATGAAGAAACTCACGCCTCTGGAGAGCGGATTTCCCGACGCTTGCGCAAGCCACGCGGCGCCATTTCGTGCCCTGGAGTAAAATACCAACAGTCTTTCAACTTCACCGACTATAATGCCCCGTAAACCATTCTCAGCAATGCATGCTTCATCAATTCGCAGTGAAGCCGCAATTTAATTTCAACGGTTAGCGCAACTCCCCTTTAAAATCATTTTACAAATCCTGCAGCACGTTATAACGGAGGACTATCTCTAGTCGTAACCAGAGGGAACCAAGCAATTCCTCGAGAACAAAACGTTACTGCAGAAGATCTGCTTATGACAGAAAACACCTGGATATTCTGCCGTTCATAACTAATCAATGCCAGTATCTCAATTTGGCACAAATCATACTAATTTTAAGCCATGATTTATAAGTCGCAAGAGAAATTAGAACTGTGGGCAAAATGGATTCAGTCCACACATACTTCAATTTCACAAGCTCCTGCTCATTAAAATTCATACATTATTTGGTTCCCATAAAAGAAGTGAATGATCAAAATCGCATATCAGAGATCTGACGACGCTGCACATGATGACCGAAATAGACTCCTACAATCACGATGAATTTCAAGGCTCCACGCCTAGTCGAACGTATTTCCCAGAGAAGCAGTGAATTACGCAACGCCAAACACCACGCGCAGGTTATGAGGAAATGAGTGTCAAGACTACTTTGCACACTGCGAATTGACGAACGCCCCTCAATGAAGAAAAACACGGGCGGGTTCGAGTTCAAAATTTTTTTTTTCATTCCGCCCGTTATTTACACATCGTGTTGCGGCCACGTTTTCGAAGATTTCCAATTTTTTTGTGGTTTTTTTCTCCTCATGCGCGCGAATCCGGAAGCTTAACGACGAAACAAGGAACAGCGAAACCAAGAAGTCGTTTCTTCTTCTATAGATCGGAAGAAAACAAGAGATTAACGAGTTTGGGAGGAACTTTTCAGCGCGCGAATTTCCCACGAAGCGAAATTTAATTCTCCTATATCAAGTCGGCGACGTTCATCGGCATTTCGTCAATTTGCGTATTGTAGAACTGCTCGAGGTCCTTGAGCGTGCGTTGATCCTCTTCAACCACGAAGTTGATCGCCACGCCCTTCCTACCGAAACGTCCGCCACGACCGATCCTGAAGTTTGAAAAAGCATTCAAATTCATTACCTCTTTCGCAATACAAAAAATAAAATAACTCACCTATGAATATAGTTCTCGCGTTGCGTGGGCAAATCGTAGTTGATAACAAGTGACACTTGCTGAACATCGATTCCACGAGCCAGAAGATCAGTTGTGATCAACACGCGCGATGAGCCAGAACGGAATTCTCGCATAATCACTTCGCGTTCCTAGAATGCCAAGAAAAACTGTTGATCTTTTTGCCAAATGTACAAGTAGAAGCGATAATACCGCAACAGCTTTGAATATTGCCTGAACAGTATTTGGAGAAATCGGAATGAACGAACTGGAACCATCTCGACAGAAATTCTGTATTATAGAAGCTCAGAATTGAATTTCTCCTGGAATTTTTCAATGATGTAGGAACTTAACACGAACGAACCCCCATTGATAGAAACCCTCATCAAATGATTGATACAGTACTCACTCAGAGCTCATGTCTCCTCTTTGAATAACTTTAAAGCTGAAAATCACAATCGATGACTAATCGTCCACAAGCCACTGGCTTCCAACAGATTTCGAAGAACTTCACAGCTAGCGAATATTCTCTTCATGCATACTTGAAAACATTTCGAACCATTAATCGAAAACCTGCTCAATTTGGGCAGAACTGAAAATTGTATCGGACCTGATTGAGGATAGTCGCGATGATAGAACACTACTTCCTCACCCATAGTGTCGGACACTCGTTAATATACCTTCGTTTGACGACCGATAGAGTACACTTGAGTTACTTCCGGCGCTTTTAGAAGGATTCTGTGATTTAAATAGATTTGACGGCGTAAGGACAGACACCCACCTTCTGTTCCATCTCCCCGTGCATGGAGGAGACAGTAAAGTCCCGCTGGTGCATTCTCTCTGTCAACCAGTCGACTTTACGCCGCGTATTACAGAAGATCACGGCCTGGGTAATTGTCAGGGTTTCGTACAGATCGCAAAGCGTATCCAACTTCCAGTCTTCACGTTCAACATACACGAAGAACTGCTTGATACCTGAACATCCACAACGAAAAATTAAGCTCAAGCAACCCCAGCACACGTAAGAAAGTGAGATTAAATAAATAACTTCAGATGGCCGTTCAAGTATCCTCAAAATGTGATAGGTTCTCATGAAAATCATCACCAGAAATACTTCCAATAATTCACAGGACTAATGACATACCCTCAAGCGTCAATTCCTCCTTCTTGACGAGGATACGGATGGGGTCACGCATGAAGTGCTTCGTTACTTCCAACACGTCCGCCGGCATTGTAGCGGACAAGAGAATTACCTGAATATTCTCTGGGAGTGTTCTGAAAACGTCATAGATTTGATCCTTGAATCCCCGAGACAACATTTCGTCAGCTTCGTCCAATACGAAGAACTTGATGTAATTCGTCCCTGTAAGAGACACAAGGGCAATCGTCGAGAACAGGTAATCCACGGACCAGAAGAAATACATCCGTTCACACTTAACAGCGAACAGACGACGAATGATCATAAGTCGACAGGTAACCGCAGTAACTCACTAAGTGAACGACGATTTATGATGTCGTACACACGACCAGGGGTACCAACGACGACATGAACACCCAACTCCAACCTCCGCTTGTCTTCCCACAAGTTCGTGCCGCCAATAAAAGCTTGACACTGAGCATTCATGTAATCGCCCAAGGCAAGCACTACTTTCTGGATCTGTTGAGCCAGTTCTCGAGTCGGAGCTAAAATCAGCGCCTGACATTCTTTCAAGCTCGTATCAATCTGTTGCAAGATCGCAATAGAAAACGTAGCAGTCTTTCCAGTTCCGGATTGCGCCTGAGCAATCACGTCGTAGCCTTTCGTACACGGAATGATAGCGCGCTGCTGGATCGCTGAAGGTTTCTCAAAACCGTACGCATAGATTCCACGCAGCAACTCTTCTTTCAAGTTCATATCATCGAACTTGTCCACGACCTGGAGAACAGCGTTTGAGCTTGCAATTCCCAAAGATACCTCATGATAATGCTAACCTCTTCCCAATTGGACTCGATGAGGCCGTCGACATCGGAAGCGCCCTCACCGGCCCCCTTATCGGAGGGCCCGTTCTTCTCCGAAGGAACAGACTCGTTTCTGCACACGAAAAAAGAGCACACTGCAGAACACACATAATTCCAAAAACACTGCAAAAATTCCTCACCTTTCTCCAGCAACTGACATGATAAAATTAACGAAGATTTAGAAGAATCCTGGGTTATGTTTCCTCGCTGCTTTCGTCACCGTGTATTCACACACTGCGATTGAGTAAGTATGGCGGCCCGTATAGAGGTCCATGTATTCAGATCGTTTCGTACATGCGGCGAAAAATAAAACCGTTGATGATCAGTAAACGATAATTTGATAGCTGACAAAACCTCAGAACACATCAAAATCGAAAGGATTATTCGGACGAAACAAAACCTTCAAATTCCTTCACAAGCTTTTCACGCACTTTGGTGCAACATTTCTGTTGGCGCCTCTAGCGGTGAATTCATTCGAACTTGACATGTAAATCTGGGAATACACCCATGGAACCCTCAATAGGTTGAACGTTACTTTGGAGCTTCCGGAAGACCTTGGGTTGGATTTTGATATGGTAAAAGTAAATGAAAAGTTGGTAATTGACCTTTGCTTTAGAGAACTTTACGAAAAACCGTTAAGTACTTTCTTTTGATGCTTTTCATTCCCTTATGGCAAGATCCTTCGATCCAGGGCTAGTATAGTGACATCTGTCAATTGTCGAGGCATACGTAGATGGCGTTTCCAGATCTCACTCGTAACAGAAATTACAGTACAGCACTTTACTGTACTTGCAAATGTCACCGTATCGCAAGTGGCAATGTTGCACAGAGAAAAATTGGCTTCCCTTGAGAAAAGTGTTCGTAACCTTCTGTGTTGGGTAGCGCCTCGAATGAGCTTCGATTGTATTCGTCCTAGTGAATTAAACGTCGTATATGTAGGCGCTTTGTCCTGTCCTGACAAATATTTCATTATGGTGACATTCTAGACATTTTTTACGGAATAAACCGTTTCTGACTGAAATTCACGCGTGGCCTTCATCTCGTCTGCTGTGAAAAACGTCGTTAAGCGCGAAACCATTCACCGGCTTCGCGTAATCGACTGTTCGTTTACCGGCCGAACTTGTATGGCCGCCTTCGTTGCGCTGTTGAGCTTGGCGAAAAACCGGACTTGAAGCAATTAACCATGGAAAAGGCGGACGACACGAACATCGAAGTCCTGGGCGAAAACGGCGCCTATTACAATGTGAGTGAAATACAATTTTTAAAATTTGCATTCGGTGAAGAAGCAGTAGAGAAACTTCACGAAATTTCCCCCGTATAGGCCTCCATCGTAGACATCATGGACGATAAGGTGCTCGTCCGTTTTGAGAACGAGTGAGTTTCTGTGCAGTTTTCGCCCGGTTTCGCGTCGGTTTGATCGTCCAATTTCTGTTTTCCTTGAAGATGGCAACCAGATACACAATTCGCGCTGAATAGTGTCAGGTTCCCGCCATCGAGTGCTCCCGGGCAAGCCCCGTTGGTCGAAGGCCTTGAGGTCGAGGTGAAATCGAAGTCCTCCGAGTCAGACCACCCAGGATGGTTTCGAGCGACGGTCAAGATGATGAAGGGGGATTTCGTAGTGGTCGAATACCTTGGATTCGAGAACAGCTATACCGAGATTGTCCCCATGGAAAACGTGCGTCTCAAGAACCCTAATGATACACTCAAGAAAGGTTCATTAATCAAGAAGGAGTATCCCGTCCCCGAAGATGTGATGGAACAGTAAGGCATTTCTACAATCATGGCTGGAAAGCAGTTCTTGATTTATGTACGATTTTTGCAGCATCAATCGGTCTGGATCGAAAATGGAAGACGTGCAACGGCAATTTCGGAAGGCCTGTGAAGCAGTACAGTGCAAGCTTATTCCAGAACGAGAGACAATTTTAGTAGTTGTGAGTATTACATGCATCTGGTGAATTGAAACAGTGAATCCTTCAGGGGAATCTTGGTTTACGAATGAGTCCTATTTTATCCGTGCTGTTGGGTTTATCATCACGAGAGATTCTGAGAATGCTGCTGTCCGTGGAATTGTGAAGTTTTAACGATTCATTCAAAGATTACTACTTGGATTTGTATCGACTGCACGTACAGTGCTTGAATTCATCTAGTGATAATTGACGAGAAGTCAAAGTCACCCGCGCCGTGTAACGTACCCTCGGTCAATACCTCCGAATGTCCAATCGTAGTATGGGATTTAATTTTTTACCCCGATGAAACTCTAGACTTGTTTTCTGTAGATTTGCGCGGTTCTGATGTTACTTTTTCTATCGGGATGCTATACTTGATAAATTGAACGAAAATTTCGTGCAGTAAGATAACTTTCCATGTGTTAATTTCGTGAGTTTAGCTTTCTTACCGAGTGCTTTTTTGCTGACTGCTTTTTCTCGCGATTTATTTATTTTTCTAGGAAATACCTTTTGTTTTCACGAGTATTTTGCGTTGTCATTTGTGTGATGTCAAAATCTTGCTGACGCTTGATATTTTTTTCAGGGTACCTCGGAGAAGACATTTACTAGAGCGAACATGTTGATGGAGATGCACCTGAGAAATCTGAAACAGAAGGCCTTATTGCTGCTGCGGACGGAAGACGTGGCGCGTGTTCTGGAGTCGACCAAGTTGCAGACCAAGTCCGGTCACACTGAAAGCTTTGTGGTTCGAACAGATTTGATGGGACTCGCTATCGGTGCTCACGGACAGAACATTCAGAATGCACGGAAGATCGAAGGCATCACCAACATCGAGCTCGAGGAAAACGCCTGCACCTTTCACATCACTGGCGAGGTGAGACCAGAGCCTATAAAAAATGCAGTACCTCGTAGGATTTATTTCGAGTAATAATTTTGAATTATTGATGTTTTTCAGACTGAAGAGGCGGTAAAAAAGGCCCGGGGCTTGCTGGAGTACAGCGAGGAGTCTATCCAAGTGCCTCGGAACATGGTAGGAAAAGTAATAGGGAAGAACGGAAGAATTATTCAGGAAATGGTGGACAAAAGCGGCGTGGTGAGTTGCAAAATCTTTTTTACTGAGTTTTTGGGCCCACGTCCCAACCGGAATCGGGGGGGGGGGGGGTGCTATCCGCTTTTTTCTCTCTGGTTGAGTCAAGTTTTCTCTCAAGAGTATCGGTAAATTGTATTTCGCCTATTGAAGAATCCATTTGTCATTTCAGCAATACTGAGAGAAAAGAAAATATCAACCTCAAGTACCACGTGCGAAATTTTTTTTCTTGAAAATCGAAAATAAGGGTGTGCATCGTTGGGCGAATTTTTCAAAACGTTAGGTGTGCATTATACTGCAATCGATTCTTATGGAAACTCTTGAGCCGATTTCAACAAGACCTTTTTAAGAGAAATGTATCGTAATTAGGATCCAATTTGATCAACATTTTGGACTGAAGAAGCCTGGTGTGCGTTTCACTCAGGGGGGCGTGTTGACTGATAAACTACGGTAAATTTTTTTCACTCGGAGAGGTTTCCCGTAGAAGCTACATATGAAATAGTGGAGGGTCTGCTAGTAAGTAGATAGAATATGATGTATTGAGTATCTTGCCTTTGATCTAATGTCAGGTTTATGCTACTTATTGAACATTTTTGTGAAGGAAAAATGTGCACGTGGATGGTGCAGCATACATTTTTTCTATTGAACGTATAACAGCAGAGTATGAAAGCTGATGAACATTCTTTGATACCTTATTTTCCTCTTACGGATTAAAAGTTTGGTCGAATTATTCAAATGATCGCTGTGGAGCAGAAGTGGTAAGTGGAGTCTGATTAGCACTTGGTAATATGTATCGCAGAAATTTTCACTCTGTTGATTGAATAATGCTTTATCATCGGGAATAGAAAATCACAGCGTTTTGGATTAATTGAAAAAGGGTTTGCAGAAATTCCAGAAAGAGGAAGAAAGCTTTCGAGGATGTCTCGGATGAACTAGATTCTGTATCTACATGAATTGAAATGTTATTCGTAGTTGAATTTCCTGTCTCGGGGGAGACATCGCACTTGATGCCGATTGAATTCGGAATTGTTTTTGGCTGTAGGTTCGAGTGAAGATCGAGGGCGACAATGAGCCCGAGCCGTCAGTGTGTCGTGAGGAAGGCCAAGTGCCGTTCGTGTTCGTCGGGACTGTGGAGAACATTTCGAACGCCAAGATCTTGTTAGAGTATCACCTGGCCCACCTGAGGGACGTGGAGCAGCTCCGTCAGGAGAAACTTGAGCTCGACCAGAAGCTTCGCACGATGCAGAGCTCGACGAATCAACCGGGCTACCATCCTAGGCGCGGTGACGGACGGTGAGGCTTTTCGCTTGTCACTTTCTCGCATCTCTTCTTTTTAATCTTTGTCCTGAAAAGAGAAATTTATCGTGCACAATTATCGTAGGGCTGCTCGAGGAAAAGAGCTCTATAGCTGATGTTCCGTGAGTGTAAAATACGAGTTTTTAGTGTTGAATGTCGACTTTACGCACCTCGTCGAAGTTGAAACCATCTACGGAAGAAATTGTGATGAAGATTCTTACAAGGCCTCCCCAGTGGTACGTGGAACGCATCCCAGGGGTTGCACATATGCGTAATTGAAGAAAATGAGAGGGTTTTCTTAGTCAATTGTGAAATGTTCGCTCGTTTTCGGAGGGGAAAAAAGAAAGTTGTATCGAATATTTTCATAGATCTTGGGATGACTCCGTTTCAATCTCCATGGACCTGCAGACAATGAAGCTATTCCACTGGGAATGCGGAATAGGGAAATTGATGCTATGGATAATGAATTTCGCTCTTTCAGTTCATTCGATGATAGAAACATATTTTCGTATCCTTCCAAAAGCGCCGGAAGTAACTAAAAGTGTACTTTATCGGTCGTCAAACGAAGGTACTGTATATTAATTATGTTCGACACTATGGGTGAGGAAGTTGCGTTTTTTGCCGTCGCGTCTATCCTCAATCGGGTCGGATACATTTCTTCGAAATTATCGTTGTACAGTATATGGAGTAAAAATCGGATCATTGGCTTTCTGTGCACCCGGTATTTGTGTCACTTTCTTTAGTGACTACCTTTGTTCATCGGGTTTTATAAAAATTCACCATGTCTTGAAGATAACGTTATCGTAGTGGGTTTCCGTTTCATCATTATTGTTTGTTCATCGTGAGCTGAGTTGTTCTCACGTGTAGAAGTGGATTTTGGGAGAAGCTTTTCGTAGTTCCTGAGCGAATTTGGGAGAACAGGATTCCTTCCTTTCCGAACCTTTCTCCTGAGTTCCAGGTGTCCTTCTGTGAGTAGCCGTCGTGATCGGATTCCAGTTTCTCGGAATTGGTTTCTGAAGGACATGTTTGTCGATGACATGTATTCGTCGAATAAGTCATGCATTTTTTAATTGGACCCGTTGTTTTGATTAGAAAACTGATTGTTGTTATTTCAAAATTGCAATAAATTGATATATTTTGAGAAATTTACTACGGTACCTGAAAGCGATTTAGGTACTGTACTGTTCTTCGCAATGAAAATAACTTTGGATGAGATGTCTTGTTGTTAGTCACCTTCCCGAGCGATGGGATTCATGAGTGTTCTTGCGTGCTGAGCTGTTGCATCTCGTTTGATTTATTCCATCATGCAGTACCTTGGAGCAGTTGTACTGTACTTCCAACATCTGCTCATACATTTGATGCAAGGTTGCTTGTGACCAAGAGACAAGTTTTTTCTTGAGAATGATGCTGTAGACTGGTTAGTTTTGGAGATATTCCACCTGTACTTTCTTCAGATATCCACTTCAGCTGAAAATTGAACTCATTTATTTTGAAGTCAGCAGTTCGCTCATTCGAAAAGCATTGTTGGGAAACTTAGTACTGTGAAGTATTATGTATCAGACGGGTGTAAACACGGTAGACCGAGAGAAAATGCGTTGCTAGATTCCCTAATCTTGAGAAAGCATTGGTGAAAGGAAGGAAATTGATGCCTTATTAAGAAATTGGCAGACAACCGAAGATTATAATATACAGTACTGTATTTGGGGGATTCATAACTGAAAATTCTTCTGAACAAGATTGATGATTCGAAACTGTTCTCGTTTTTGATCAGTCCAGTCAACATGCAATCCTAAAAATTGGACTCGAAACCGAGCAGCAAATTATTTTTCGTAGATGTTCGCTTTAGTCATAAGGACCTTTTTGTGGTCTTCTTACTATAGTTTCGGGAATGGAGGAACCATTTGTATCTTCTTATTTCGAAATTTAAGAATAATTTGTATACATTCATAATTTATAACTGTATTTTTCGAAAAACGGATCCTTTTTCGGTCCATCCTGTAGTCGTGAGACAAGTTGTTGCATATTTTGTCGCCTGCGCGAATTTGTATGTATCGAAAATTAAATTATTTCTATTTAAATTGTTTCGCAGGGGTTACGGAGAAGGCGACGGGCCGATGTCTGACCGGGACCGAGTGAGCAGTGGCGGACGTGGTGGGGGTGGGCGGGGCAGGGGTCCACCGCGTGGACAGATGCGGGGTGGCCGCGGCGGCGGCGGTGGGCCAGGAGGCTCGCGCTACGGTAACGGCACAGGCCCGCCATACCTAACTAACAACGACTACTACTATGACGGCTACGAGGGCGGCCCGAAGTCGCGCGGCGGTGCAGGAGGCAGCAGCGGTGGCGGCGGGCGCCGGAAGGAAGACACCCGCGGCGGACGCCGCCCCGGTGACAAGCAGCGCCGCGGCGACTCGGACTAAACCTAGCTTCCCACCTTTCACCCTCTATTTTTTTTTTTTTTTTTTTTTTTTTTTTCTCTTCTGCAACCTCCCACGTCCTGCTTAGTTACGAGCGATGAAAAGAACCCCCTTCCACGTTTCGCGTGGACTCTCTCTTTTCTTTCACCCTCTTNTCTTTTTTTTTTTTTTTTTTTTTTTTTTTTTTGAAGAAAAAGCGGTTCCTGCATTATCCCTGCGTTTACGTTTCTAACGCGAAGGCTGTGTTATTTTCCGCGTTGATTTCGTTTTCCCTGTCCCCACTAGAGTGCGTGATTATTCCGTAGCAGTCGCATTCGGCTAACAAAAAAAGAAACGAGCGCCTTGTATCGGTACGATGTTGTCCTTCGATTCCGTAGTCTTCTTGACTCAATCCTCATCTTGAATCGACTCGCTTTCTGCAATTCAAATGCCTGTTTTGTAGTACAGTACTTCAATGGTGGAGTTTTTTGCGTGTGTGTTTGTATGTGTGTTTATGCTTTGTAAGCTCAAGGCAACTAACCTGAATCTTGATCTCGCGTTAGTCGACGGTTGTTTCCTTTTTTGTCGGGGCCAACTTGGTTGATTGGTCAAGTTGAAGAAGCAGTAAAATTATCCCTGATCATTATCCCTTATCTTAGTCACGCGCGTCCATTGTACACTTTTTTTGTTGAGTAATTTACGTCGTTTAAACTTGGCTAAGTTTGCACGCCATCTCATGAGTACGAAGTGCCACGAATGACTTAAACACAAGCGTACTGTTATTGTTAATCTAAATTAGGTTTGCGTTTCAACTTTTCCTCAATGGTTTTGCCTTGTTCACTTTAACAGAAGTATTTTTCTTTCCTATCAACTCTCGTCTCGGTTTTCTGTATTCAACGTCGTAATGATTCAGAGTTGGGACCTGAATTGCCTGTGACTTGAAATGCCTGTGGAACGTTCAGCCGTGGTCTCTCTTTATTTGGTTAAATTTGGAAATGAAAATTACAATGGTCCCGACTGAAGATTATTTTTCGGATTTTCCCGATATTAACGATGGTGTCTGAGAAAAATATACTGGGGATTTATTTTCTGAATGAGTATAATTTTAGAGGGTTTGCGTAGGAGATTAGGGGTCATAATTCTTTGCTCTCGTGTCTTGGCTGAACTCTCCCGAATTTTTGAACATATGTCGCAACTTGTAAGACTTCGGGAAAACTCGAGATTGGAGGATATATCAAGACGGTAGTGGATTATATTTTTCGACGTGAAAGGTAAGAAAGAGAGAAATTAACGGTGACGAGTTGCAGAAGCGGGTTGTTTCGAAAATGTGGGTTTCGTCCAGGACGACGGGATTGAATTGACGGGTTTGTCCCGGAGAAGAGAGAAAAAGAAGGGGGAAAATAGCCGCTCGCATTCAGCTCGTCGTGCGACGTAAACGCGTGGGTTTTTTCGTGCCTGTTTCTTAAAGAAGAAGAAGAAAAGAGAGAAATTGTTTCCGTGTCCCTGTTTTCTTTTCCTCCGCCGTGAGGCTTTCTTCTGCATGATCCGTTGCCGCCGCCGTCGTTGCTGCTGCTGCTGTTGCTTGTTCCTCGTCGCGGATAAAAAGAAAAGGGATCGTGAACTGCGTTCAGCGAGCGATCAACTTCTGTTTTTGATTTTTTTTTAATTCTCTCCCTCGTTGTCTCCGGTTGCGATGGGAAAATTTTTTCGGTCGGAAAAAGAAACTTGAGTGAATGTTATATGCAAAGGGTTTTTTTTTTCTTTTGATCCGACGTCTTTTTTCCTTTTTTTTTCTGGAGCTGGATGGAAGAGGATCGTTTTTCCGATGAATGCTGAGTGGAAAGATGTTTCGAGCGAAATTTCAGGGGAGAGTAAAAAAGGGCGAAGTTTTTTTTTAAACCTGAAACGACCTGGCATGCGTTTTACTGTCCTTGCTTGCTTGCCAAATTAACTCACTAATGGAAGCCTAGGTTTCTTTCTTTTCCCCCTTTTCGAGAAGTTTGGAAGATTCTTTATTTGCCGTGTTTCTGCCGTAGCGAATCATCATCAGTATGAAGATTTGCCGCCTGCCCCGAGGCGAGGAGGAAGAAGGTCGCCTGGAAACGGAAACTCGGGTTGGGAGGCGGAGGACCCGTCGGATTCGCAGGACGTGGGCAGTGTAGCCAGTGTGGATCGTGGTAAGATAACCCGCTTCCCCTTCTGAAGCGAGGCTTTTCAAGTGATTTTCAAGAGTTTACCAGCATAGATATAGTTCTGCCCAACTCGGATGTGGCCAAGGGCCACATAGCAAAGGTGGAGATTGTTTGCTGTCACAACATGCAGTAAATTTCTAATTTTCCCATTTTAAATGGAAAGCATCGAAATTCTGTGCCATTCATTGAATCACCCTTAAGCCTTGTCGAATTTTTCAAGGGTGGAGCAACATTTTGAATGTTGGAATTTAACTTTGAGTATGCAGTATTCTTTGGGTAGTGGCGGCTGCAGCCTTGAAAATTAAAGGGAAGGGCCCACGGGATGTATTATGAGTCTCAATGGGCCAGATCTGGGTTGTGGGCCTGTCCATCACTGAGGTAGAATTTGGTTTTTTCTGATTAATAAATTGTTATTGTACAAAGATGTGCTGCAATAGCTTGAACATGTTCTTCACAGAGATGTGGAAGGGGAATACAGTTGTCTCTCTACAATGATCTTGTCTTGAACAATTTTCTCTGTACAACAAAATTTCCCCTGAATTTTGTTGTAGAGAGAGTACGCCTGTAATAGGTTTGTCTCTGTTCAGTGCAAAAATTATAACATGAAGAAAGTCATATTTTTATGATTGAAATTTCCAAATGCACTGTTGAATGAGTGGAAAGCTCTAATAACTGAAAAGTTTTACCTTCTGATTATGCTGTGACTGGAATATCCAGAAAATAACGAATGTGTGATAACATCAAAGGGAAAAATAATGTATTTTTAATGCTACAATTATTGTTATTCAACTTTTGGGACAAACCTTGTACTGTATGTACAAAGTACAGGGTTTGTCTCAGATGTGCGCTCTAGAATACAGTAAACAATGCTGGAAAACCAGCGAACTTGATTGTTTTGAACACTATAACTTTTGAAGCTATTGGTATATTTTTCAGTTATTCAAAACATTCTTCTAGTACTCTGCTTGATGTCATGGCGAGTCTTTTAAATGATAGTCATACTCTTTTGCTTGTATTGCAAGTGAAGTGAATTTACAGTAAACGAAATGTTCGACGCAATCGAGAGTAATTCGGAAAAAAAAATATTGTACGAGTGAAACCTCCCATCTCCCATAATTTTAAAAATGAAGTAAATTTACATTACTTACTGTATTGGTATTTTTTGGGATTAGGGTCAGAACAGATAAGGTTCTCCTCTTCTCCATGTAGCCTTAATCCAGTTTTTATCGAACTTCCAAAGCTATGATACCAAGGGACCAATGCATCATAACTCTGAGCTGGAAAAGCCGATGAGCAATGCAGCAAAAACTAAATGAACAGAAGTAAAGTTAACTGGAAAATTAACTGCTTGGGTTCCATGTGGACATTTGAATGAACGAAGAGTGGGTACCCACCATTTTTCTTGTAATTTCAGCCTGGATGGAACAAAAATGAAACCACATTTTTGTTCTCATCAGTTTTGTTGATCCTTCTTGCTGCCAAAAGTAGCTCATCAATGGGGTTTGTGATTGAGTATACCTTGTTCAAGATTTAGGTGGACTACTACAGTTTAACCTTGATGAGTTAACCTATTACATTGAATACCTCCCTAACTCAAATGCATTAAACAATGCATTAAAAACCCCTGCTCAAATTCTTTTTCTCTAAAATCTCTGCAAGTCAAATTTTCTGAGGCCTTTTGGTTATTTCTTTGAAATTTGAAAGAGAAAAGCAATAAAACAAATTATTTTATGCATCTTGAAATCAACTAAAAGACTAAATTGAACAAATGATACCCTGTCTCTAAGTTCTGCAAGCTGTGAACTAAGAAAGAAGAAAATTTAGGCCCAGAATATCCTCATTCACAAATTCCCACAATTTTTTACTTTTCCTTGTAGCAAAAATGTTTCCCTAACTCAAAAGCTCCAAAAATTGACACCTCCCTGGAAAAAAAATTTTCCTGGTCCCTAGAAATTCAACTTAGAGAGGTTCAACTGTGTAATGAAATTCAGAGGACCAGAAAATTGTTTGTTGTAGAGAACCTATATACAGTAATATGTCAAGAGAATCATGTGCTATGGCACAAAAAAATTTATACTGAGAAAATTAGCAAGAGAGTGTTGGAGTCCACCTGTAATTCAACCTGTTGCAATTTATTTTCCTAAAAATTGCAAAGAGTATTTTTCACAATCCTCCATCTATTGTTGGTATCAGAAATTTAACCTATTGAAATTTGAAAGGGGATAAATGTTTTTACAGAAAGACTTGCACCCAATTCTCTGTTGGTATGCAAGGCTTTTTTTATGCACATAAAATCCTCAAATGAAAATTGACATTTCCAAGTTTCCTTTTTCTTTCATTTGGAACAAGCACTGGATTAATTGAGTTCAAATGTTTCCCCACTTGACTTTAAAGAGCTTGTTCAACTTCATTTGTTGTTTGAACATTGAGCCCTTGAAATGTTTTTGGAAAATTTTGTAACTCATCTCTCAATTGAACTACGAAAGTGCCATGTACAGTATAGTACTGAGACGGTGCAGAGTATTCGCTTTTAGGATCAAAACCCAGACTGATTTTAATGCGCGAGAAAATGTGGTACAATTGATCAAGGAGTTTTCCAAAATTATATCATTTTCAACCCTTGAAATGTCTGATGGCGTTGAAGCCAAAGTAGTACCAGTGAAGGGAAACCTTTTAATGAAGCTTCTTTTTCACTTCTTTGGGCATGTGAACATTGTGTGACTCATGTATGCTTGTTGCAATATACATGATCAGAATCCGTATCAAGTTTTGATGGCGGCAGAGGCGGTCCTAGCAGGAGGAGGAAAAGGCGGCCCAGAGGCAACCAGGGTAGTAGGAGCGGCACTCCAACCAAAGGTCTGCATCCCCTCACACACTACCTGACTCAATTTTTCTGCTACACCTGTTGATTAGAGACCTATTCGTATCTGTGATCTGTTTCAGACCACAAAGGCAGCGAACTGAATGGCAACTTGGATGTGAACGGAACCTGAAACAGTGGGAGAGAAGGAAAAATCTGATGTTCCAAACTCACGTTTGAGTCGGGACATTTTTATTCCTATGAATACGGTTTTAGATCTGATGGAGCTCACTCTGAGAACCTAACTTGGACTCCACGATTAGCCAAAATATTTGAATTCTTGCTACTTACCCACTCTGTTCATGGAATTCTGGAAAAAGAAAAGTTCGTTGCGTTGCAGAAAGAAAAAGTACTTCAGTGTAAATACAAGAAAAGATGCTCTCCTGTGTTCCGAATTATGGATGTTGACGGCGGCTCGTTGCGGTATGAAAGATGTGTTTGGCGTGTTCCTCGAAGACATTTCGGAGTGGCGTTTTAAAGCATTATTATTATTTATGCGTTTCTTCCTCTAATTGGGTTTTTTTCGCTCGCGTATTTAACCGGCCGAAAATAAGCTTCGAGCGTGGAAACGGTTCCCGATGTCTTGTTATGATGCAATTGCGAGTGAGGCGGATGATAAAATAAAGCGTCTTTCATAGGAACTCGTTTCTTATTTCGATAACTTGTACGGTATACCGTAGTTCGATGCAATATTACTGCCGAGTTAGCGATTATGCGAAGCAGTGAAATTTTTCTGCGTGACTGCCGTTCACATCACCCACCTGATAATATGTCCTGGCAGGAAGTTCTGGTTCGTTCCATAACCGCAGTTCCCTGAATGGATAATTTCTGAAGATGCGCGCCTGTGAATGAAGCCGAGATGAATTAATGCGAGTCATCATTCCCACGCGGAATATTCTAGATTTTCAAGTTGTGCAAGTACCCTGATGGACCGTTTGTGAAAAATTCCGTGGGTCATTCCACCGTTTTGCGTATCTCCCTTGTGAATCAAACGATGTCGGTTGGGGACTTGTATCGAAGCAATCCGTGCTGATGTTAAAACGTCCCAGTGTGTGTCCTTACGAAACATCGACCTTTAAGAGCATTTCTGTCAGTTCTTTGCAAGTGCCGTGTTTCCAAAGACTAGGGTTCCATGAAATGAGTCGTGGAGGACGAACATGGGTAATGGATCCGGTTGTTCACTCGATGGTTTAAGAATCTCTCGTTGCAGGAAATCAGGGAAAGAAAATGAATGTTTTAACTTATTGACAGTGTAGTCGATGTTCTGTTCTACATCTGTACAGTATGGAGACCCGATTCTTTCCGGTTTTTCAGGAATGCCGAGGTGATCGATACCGTTGACGCGTGTCGTGTGATATTATGTTAGCACCAGTGGGTCATTGCCGGGAAAAGGTTTTCAGTTTATTCATTGCTTGAATTCGGCGCAAGACGCTAGTTCAGCTGTATAGAGTCACCATGAGCTTCACGAGCGACGAGGTGAATTTCCTCGTCTACCGGTATTTGTTGGAATCGGGTGAGTGTTTTAAAACGGTCTCAATTTGTACGATTAGTTGCACGAATTTGCCTATTTCCTGCAGGATTTCATCATTCCGCATTCACATTCGGAATGGAGTCCCATATTTCCCAATCCAACATCAATGGAGCTTTAGTTCCACCAGCAGCCCTTCTTAGCATTATCCAGAAAGGACTACAATACGTTGAAGCGGACATCAGCCTCGCTGATGACGGAACTGAAAGAGAAATAGATCCCCTTTCGCTTATCGATGCTGTTGTACCCGACGTGCTTTCAGCAAGGCAGCAACAATGTGAAAAGCAGGCCCAAAGGCAAGGTGGCCAGAAGGGCAAAGATTCGCCATCATCCCCGAATGCAGCCGCCGAAGACGGTTTCGATGGAACCGCCGGTGATACGGGTGCAACTGGCGGCGCAACGGTGACACAGAACGGCGGCGGTTCCTTGACAGGCGGTGATGTATCGAGTATTCGAATTGGTACCCCCGGATCCCTCAGTACTTTGCCGGACGATACTCCGCCCGGTGTGAAAATTCCGGCGAACAAATCCACTATTCTTCGTGGTCACGAGTCCGAGGTCTTCATTTGTGCCTGGAACCCGGTCACGGACTTGTTAGCTTCAGGGTGAGTTTTCATTCCGTTTCCTCTGCTCGTATTCGCTTCTTCGGCGAATTTGTGTCTGTAAACGGGAAAACCTTGCGTTACCGTATCGTAAATGGTGGAGAGGAAACCCATTCGTGTTCATTCATTTGTAGATGAGGAAAATGTTTAATTAGTCATGAAAAACGTCAAATCTTGCATTATGGAATACCCTTCCAAAAGCGCCGGGAGTAACTAAAAGTGTACTTCATCGGTCGTCAAACGAAGGTATATTAATGATTGTTCGACTCCATGGGTGAGGAAGTTGCGTTTCTCTGTCGTGACTATCCTCAATCGGGTCGAATACATTTCCTCGAGAAATCATGCTGAAAAATGGTGCATCTGCAATGCGAAGGATTCGTAAACGTAGGTTTTTTTTCTTTTTTTTTCTTTTCATGAACCCGATGCGTTATGAATGGTTTTCATATACAGTAGCTTGTAAGTGCTGCTAGAATCAAAATATTGGTGCCTAACTGAAAGTCACAATTCTTCGAACAACGTCAGGATCAGTTATGACGACATTTGCTGGAAAGTGTCTTCAATTGTTGCGCTTATTTCATGCTCATTTTCTGAATAATTTGCGTTGCGACGCAAAATTTTTGGCCTTAGTTTTTCGCTTTTTATGCATTTCTTGGTAAATTTAAGTTTCTTTCGTCCGTAAGCTGAATAGAATGCCATCAAGTTCAGGTTTAGCGATGATCTAACTCGAGTGGATTGGTATAATAATCCTTTTTGTGTCTTGATGCTGCGTGTCTTTTTGTTGTTATTGTAACCGTTGAACTGACTCAAAATTTTCATTTGACAGGTCTGGTGACAGCACGGCTAGGATATGGAACTTGAACACAGCATCGGGAGAAGTGAACGGGTTGCCGAGCTCGATACCCAACCAAATCCCACCAGTACAACAAAACACGGGCCCAGGTCCGCACATCGTCAACGACTCGTCTTCGCAACTGGTTCTCCGACACTGCATTCAGCGCGGCGGCGCAGAAGTGCCGTCCAATAAGGACGTCACTTCCTTGGACTGGAACAGCGACGGCACTTTGCTGGCCACTGGCTCGTACGACGGCTACGCTCGGATCTGGACGACAGATGGGAAACTCGCATCTACGTTGGGCCAGCACAAGGGCCCGATTTTCGCGCTCAAGTGGAACAAGAAGGGCAATTATATTCTGTCGGCTGGTGTGGACAAGACGACTATTATTTGGGACGCCGCGACGGGTCTGTGCACGCAGCAATTTGCGTTTCATTCCGCGCCGGCGTTGGACGTGGATTGGCAGACGAACACGTCGTTTGCGTCTTGCTCCACTGACCAGACGATTCACGTGTGCAAGCTGGGGATGGAGCGGCCGATCAAGAGCTTCCAAGGGCATACGGTGTGTTAACGTCTGTCTCCTCTTGTTCGGCTTTTTCGACGACTCTTTGATGTACAGTATAGTACAATGGGGCCCAAAACTTATGCATATTAGATTACGTTTTCCTCATAGACTTCGATGGGAGGATATTTAATTGCTTCTCGTTTTTGTCAAACAAATGTGGATAAATAGCCGCAAAGAATCGAATGAAGGTTTTTTCTGAACTTCAAGATACAGACAACTTTCAGAAAGAAACCACACCGAATATGGCCTTTGGCATGGAAAAGACTGAAAAAAGCAAGGGACAAGCACAAGTTTTGCTTTACTGTACTGTAAACAGATGATGAAAAAAACTGTAGGAACGGAAGCAAAAAGTTAACCCATTTTGGATTATCAATCACAGTTTATTTTAAGATTTATTCGGAATCTTTGTGGGTGTAAGTAGCTCGATTTCTTCAATAGATGTAAAAACTTGACGAAGTGTCCGTATATCAAGCTATTGTCTGAATGGCGGGGCATATTTCTCACTTTCGTGTCCCCAAGTCAAATCGCCCGTGTGTCGCGGTGTCTGTAAGTCAGGGCTCAGTTGAATTCTGTGGACCCGACATCCGTGCGTCTTGAACCTTGAATGAGAAAACTTTCCGAATTCTTCAACAAGCTTTATGACTTTTTCTTTGCAGTAAAGTTTATGGGTAGAATTCTTCAACATCGAACGAAGCTGGATTTATTAATGCTTGTGTTTGGAACGCGGGGTCTCGTATGTAGTCTCTGGTAGTCATGATGATCTATTTCTGCAAGATTGATTTGAATTAGAGTTTAATGTATACCAGGGTTTTATTTGTGAGTTCATATGGTTGCCCACGTTTCAAAGACGAAACTCACCGAACCGCTGAGGGATAAATCAGAGAATTTGTAATTTTAAATTTGAATCCCATTCAGTTCCTCATGGTGGAAGCGGTTTTCCAAATGACGGACGAAGATCCTTCTAAATGTCGATTGTTTTGTATTGGAGAAAAATAATGAGCAATATTTTCCTTATCCTTCCAAAAGCGCCGAAAGTTACTCAAAGTGTACTTCATCGGTCGTCAAACGAAGGTATATTAATGATTGTTCGGCACTATGGGTGAGGAAGTTGCGGTTTTTTTGCTGTCGCGACTGTCCTCAATCAGGTCGGATACATTTTCTGAAAAATCGTGCTGAGAAGTAAAGGTTCTGCAAGGCCGAAGGTTCAACATAATCGTTTCGGAAGACGTTACGGTTTTATTATACGTGTTATCAATGGTTAAGCGTTCAAAAATGTTTTCAGAATTTTATTTGTATGTTTCTCGGGTACCCAGGCTTCAGGCGGAATTCTTCAAAGCCCGTGGGGAACAAGAATAATTTAATGACCTAAATGGGATTATTTCTTATAATACATTCTTGACTCGGTTAATGTTTTTCTCACCACGTGGCGTTTCAGCACACCATCTTTCGATACGTTTTCCTGTAATTTGATTTGTCCCGTATGACGATTTTGTTCATTACTGTACTGTATGTAGAAGAATTGACAAAATTTGATTTTTTGTTCAAAATTTCCTAAATTTAAATTTTATTTTCAGAATGAAGTGAATGCCATCAAATGGGATCCGCAAGGCCAATTATTAGCCTCATGTTCGGACGACATGACGCTGAAAATTTGGTCAATGAAGCAGGACGGTTGCGTTCACGATTTGCAGGCGCATCGGAAAGAAATCTACACAATCAAGTGGAGTCCCACTGGACCCGGAACTGCGAATCCCAACGTGAACCTGATTCTTGCAAGGTGCAGTATTTTGTCTTGAAGGGAAAATGTTTGGTAATTGGAGTTTTACCTTGGTAACTTGAACCTCCCTTCTTCGAATACAGTATTTTGAAGTCCCTGTCTGAATTTCCTTGGAAAAAAAGCATTGAAAATCTCGCTAATTCAATTATTCAAAAGCATTCCCTCTTGAACCTCCATACGTCGAATTTTCTGGAGGCTTTTTGGCTATTGTTTCATTGACAAAGGAAAGAGAAAAGTGATGAAAATGTAACTTGAGGCGTTTTGAATAGAAGTGAAAGACTAATCAGGGAAATTAACCCTTGCTTCCAAGTCCAGCATCCAGTCAACTCATTTTAAGAAGCGATTTAAGGCCCAGAATATCACCGATGACAATTTCCTGTAATTCTTCTTTCTCTTCCCCAACAAAAATCCTCTCTTCCCCTCACTCAACCCCTCCCTAACTCTAAGTCTTTGCTGGTCCCTTGAAATTCGACTCAAAATCGGTTCAACTATGTACAGTATATTTATCATCCAACAAGTTACTGTAGGCTTTTTCTAGGAAGATGCGCTCTCAGCGGGATCAATGTTGACCAGAGATGAGGCAAATAATTTTAAAATATTCTTTATTTCTAGAACCGAGATTGGAGTAAATACTTCTTTCTATTCAACGTTAAATTCCTTCACCGATTAATTTTCTCATTCTCTTCTTCGGTTCGTCAGACTTCAATTTATGGACACGGGAGGAAGGAAAAATTGGCTAATTTTGTGTGACTTCTTTCAATTTTGCGAAGAAATGGAAGCACGTGATCAAATTTGTGTGTTCGATTATGTTGTGCTTGCAGTGCATCATTTGATTCGACGGTGAGATTGTGGGACGTGGAGCGCGGTGTTTGCATTCACACGCTGACGAAGCACCAGGAACCCGTGTATTCCGTGGCGTTTTCCCCGCAAGGCAAGTACTTGGCCTCGGGCTCCTTTGACAAGTGCGTGCACATTTGGTCCACGCAAACTGGCCAACTGGTCCACTCGTACAAGGGCACTGGTGGCATATTCGAGGTTTGCTGGAACGCGCGCGGCGACAAAGTCGGTGCTTCTGCCTCTGATGGCTCAGTGAGTACCGTCTTATTTTTTCTTTGCTTTTTTTTTTTTGAAGTAGCCTCTCGTTGATAGAAATTTTTTGGGCTTATTTTTTTCATTTATGGTTGAAAGAATACTTGTATGTGCTGCCTTCGTACGTGATTTAAGTTTTACACAATATCACCATATTTACTCGAGTATATCACGCGCCTTCGAATTTGACGCGCACTCGTGTTGTTCAGTTGAAAATTTTGATTAAATCGTATCTCCGAGGAAGAAACGTACCGTATTTTCAGGGACTCCAAAACTATAATATTTTAAAAATAAGAATACCAAAAATTTGAATTTAGTCATGAATTAAATACTGTATGAATTCAATTGCAGTAATTTTAAATTTTTTTCCAATAAAAGAATTTTTTCTTGTTTGATCCGAAATTTTTTTGGATAAATTTCTGAAAATTTTTTAAATGTTTATACCGCGTATGATCCGTACCCCCCTTGTTTCTTATCGAATTTGAAAAAAATATGTGTGGTGCTCGAGTAAATACGGTCAGTAAATAAGGTCATTTTTTTAAGCATCATAGGCTTGAAACATTTTCAGAGTAGCGCGTACTGTACGTACAGAATTTCCCAAAAATGTTCATTACCCTGAATTGGGAGATGCAAGTTGAAAATAAACTCATGATTAAAATTGCAATGGCATATTCGCTTTAGTAAAATAGCTATTGTTGGGATGATGGCCAGAGGTTGATCAGCATTTCCATGTAGGTTCTTATAAGGGGACGAATTTATAACTGAAGTGTCTTCGAATCTTTTGTTAGCCAACGCCTCGTTGGTTCTCTTTCCGTTAGAGAACCAACTTGGCTAAACCAGTCTGACGCTACGCTGGACTGGGACTCTGGTAGTTGGTGTTGCTCAGTTTTAGTTTTTTTTTATAGCGAGTCTTCGTATAACTTGACTGATCCGTTCGTGGGTTTGTTTTGTTACGCGGAATTTTCATGATGCGAAACTAGTTTTTCTGTAAGATTACACCGTAAATGATTTAATTCGTTCCAGAAACTGGTTGAAATGACAGCAGTAAACCATACAATTTGTGCGTCTTTCGGCATAAATGGTGAAGTTAAAATTTATTGGCATGAAATTGAAGGAATTCTGACATGGGACAAGTTTTAGCTCTTGACTTTCTCACATTAATTTTAGAGAAAAGAAGCAAAACTCGGCGATTCTTTTCTGATTTCTAGAAAAAATTATTTAATCCAGTCTAAGTTGAAAATTTGGCATTCTATTTTTTTTTTCCGTGGCGTTTTTAACTTGTTTATTTTTGAGTAGCTTTTTCAGTTTTTCACTCATGAAAATTTCGGAATGCGAACATTTCGTTGAACGGGTCCTTTGTAATGCGGGGACCCACTGCATATTATATCAGAGGAGCGGTTTATTCGTGTTTGTGGAATAGTTTATGAAAAGTGTGTGGGTTTTCTTTTGCAGGTGTTTGTGTTGGATCTGCGGAAATAGAGAATGTGCAGGATTGTTTCTGGAAGGCTTGCTCGTCTTTTGCTCATGACTTCAATAACGGGATTGGCTTGGAACTAGTCCTCACACCGTCTTTGCATCACTTGCCGTTTTATGAGAAGTTTTTTTGTTTGTTCGTTCGGTTCCGTTCATTTACATTATGAGGGTGTACATTTGTGATAATTGGGCGTTTCTTACTGTCGAACTTTTTTTTGCTTCATCCAAAAGCGTGTGTGGACAAATCCTTGATTTTGATCTGGGCCGAGGCATATTTTTGTACTTGGTGAGAAGGGTGGATGGGTTTTTCCAATGGTCTCTGTTTTTGAAGCGTTTTTTTTTTGTCAGTTGAGAAAGAAAAGAAAGAAATCGAGGAATTGATACTCAAAAAACTTTTAAATGCGTCTGGCTTTTTCCTCGAATTGTAAGTGGGCAAATTGACGTACATTTGTTATTTTCTCCCGAAAATTTCGTTTGATTTACTATTCGCCTCTCGCGCAGTTATTCTTCCAATGTCAGTTTTTATTTTTTAGAGGTTATTTTTCGTGTGATTGATACGAAATGTTTTGTTTCTGTTGCCTAAATGCGGCCTCGCATTTCAGTTTTTTTTTAGATATTTTTGCCTGTCAAGTTTTTTTTTTTTTTTTTGGACGATGGAATTAATTCGGACGCAGTTTCGGGATGAGCAATTCGAAGATATCCATGTCTGATTGTCGAAGCACTTTCCCAGTGGACGTAGATTTTTAAATTTGAAAGCACAGATCTGCGTTTTTGGTTGAAGAGTCTTCAGACCGCTTTCATCATTTTTTTTCCCGTCTTGACTCAGTGTTCTTATTGTTGGATCAGTCGAAGGATTGTGTTTGGTTTTAACTCGTAATTCCCATTTATTACTGTTGATAAACGTGAAACAGAGAGAAAGAAAAGTGACTTCATTATAAATGTGAGAAAATCTGATGACGCGATTTGTACATTTCTAAGAATTTCATCTTCTCGACTCGTTCGAGAAATTACTTGATTTTCGATTGCTCGTTGCAGAATTTAAGTGACTCGAGTGACAAATTGAAAAAAAAAATTTTTTGCGAAATTTGAAGCGGTTGTGGAAATGGCCTTGCAAAGAACCATCGGGAAGTCTCTGCCAAATCTCCAATTTGCGCTTCGGACATCTTCGATCGCCGCCTATCACAAGAAGGTTGGTCATTGTTTTGATAATATTGTTTACTATTCAGACCTCTGTTTGAATCAATGTCGAAATCTTTATCTTTCGAGAGAACAAAAGCATTCTTGATGTCTGTCATTGATGACGATATGGGTTGAGTTGAAGTATGATCCTGATTTTTGTTTTTCAATTGGTAATTACCTTGTTGAAGCATTTTTGGGATAGAATATCAAGGATTTTGCGTTGAGCGAGGTTTAATTCACGAATATCTTCCCCTTGGGAAAGGCTGTATCTAATTTTATTATATTATTTACACTGGAATTGACTACAGTATTAAAAGAAAACTTTTTTGTGCAGTGTAGCAATTCGCAGTGAATGAGGAACCCTGATGCTATTTTAACAACTTCTAATGTACGTTACTCATTTTAACAATGAAATCTTATTTCGACTGCTAGTGGCATCTACCCACGCTATAAAAATTCATGGGGATGGATTGAATAAAATAATGGGAGATTCAGTTGCGAAGTTCTGTAGTTTCAGTCAAAAATTTAGCCCGGAATTTCCCGTATCCTTCCAAAAGCGCCGAAAGTAACTAAAAGTGTACTTTATCGGTCGTCAAACGAAGGTATATTAATTATGTTCGACACTATGGGTGAGGAAGTTGCGTTTTTTGTGGTCGCGATTATCCTCAATCAGGTCGGATACATTTCAAAGAAGAATAATACTAAATTCTACAGTACATTATAAAATGAAATTTTATTCCGACCAAAACACGGAAAACTAGGGATTCTACGCCTGCCTGGTTTTCGTGTGGCGGGAACGATTTTTTGCGCGAAATTTCCCGTATTATTTTTTTTACCATTTCTGAGACAGTCGCCAAAGAGAACCCTGAAAGAATAAAAAAAAAAATTTTGATCTGTAATTCTTACCGGGCAGTTGATGTTGATTGATTTCAGGTGATTGATCACTACGAGAATCCGAGGAATGTGGGCTCATTCGACAAAGGAGACACGCAAGTGGGCACGGGTTTAGTGGGTGCCCCAGCCTGCGGGGATGTGATGAAGTTGCAGATCAAAGTTGACGAAAACGGAAAAATTGTGGATGCCAAATTCAAGACTTTTGGCTGCGGCTCTGCCATCGCGTCGAGCTCTTTGGCAACTGAATGGATCAAGGGGAAATCCGTGAGTCATTTTCGTTCATTTCTTAGACTTGGATCGTTCAAATTTTTTGTTGACTTTCTTATTGTTTATCTGTTTTTTTCCCTGCGTAGTTGGACGAAGCCGGAAATATCAAGAACCAGGAGATTGCGAAAGAACTCAGCCTTCCTCCGGTCAAGCTTCATTGCTCGAGTAAGTAATTATCTCAAGTCAATGAACACAGAGAGTTTCTTTCTTTCGCGAAGGAAATTTTTACTTTGGAATTCATCAGTCCCAGACGTTCATCAGTACAGTATTTCGAAGGAAAAGCCGAAAAAATGGCGATGCCAAAAGCTGGGCTTTTTGAAATTGAGAGAATTTTTTCGGTTTAGTCTTAACTCACAAAAAGTGGCTTTTTCATTTGTTTGTATTTTTGGTTAACGAATTATTCATTCATTGGATTTCCGATGTTTAGCTTGGAAATGGAAGAAAACAAATATGCTGCTGGTGCATTGTTCAATGTAAAGTACGGAATGAGTATCTGAATGCAATTTATCATTTCACCATTTCAGAAAATTCTGCAGATGATTAGAGGTGAAATAAGAGCGACTCAAAAAAAAATCTAAATTTAGATGATTCCGCTTCGCAACTTCATGCGTTTAATTTTTATTATTCTGGAGAAGGAGAAATGGACCAATTGAAAATTCATAGAATGGAATTTCGTGGCCATCACAGAGCAACGTACTGTATATTTGACGTAAATGTCGTATAGTTCTCTGCTTGGGTATACATATATCATGAAAATCTCTGCTGTTTTTTTTTGTCACGCCTCCAAAAACGAATTGTCTATTCTTCCATCATTCTCAGAAACTGCTGAATATTTCAAAATTATTTTTATCGATTCAAAAAGAAAAAAAAATTAATGTGAAACCGCTATGTTTTTGTTGGACAACTTTTTAAATTATTGGTATATGCACGAATTGCGTCACTGGAGATCGTTGGATTTTATTTCTGAAAGTGCTCAGGTGCTCACATGATGCGTAAAAATTGGAGTGGAACGTGTAAGACACGAAGAACCATTGAGGAGCCATGATGATGATGATGTGTCGGTTATTCTTCAACAGTGTTAGCGGAGGATGCCATCAAGGCAGCGTTGCAGGACTACAAGACCAAGAAGGACAAAGTGGCGAATGTTCAGAAGTAGCTCAGGAGTTTGTCATTTCTTTAGAACAGCTTTTCAATCAGTTGGATACTTTGACGCTTGGCAAACAGTGATTTTTTGCAAGCGTGTTTTTTCCCCCCAGGAATTGAACGACGCCGGAGAACTCAAAAGGACCCGATTGCGGTAGGAAAAAAAGAGAACGAAATGGAAGGGAAATTTGGAAGGGGTCAAATTTTCGCAAATTCTGCGAGTTTTACGATTGGCTAAAGTGGGCATACATTGTGAGAAGTGAGTGCGGAAAAGAACTATCTCGTATTCGCAGTTGGATCCCGCGTTTTATTATTTTATTGAGTTTGTTATTCGGAGCGAAATCCGGTTTATCTCACCTGGTAGATTAGATTAACGTAAGTCAATCCTTGTTTCTAAGTTTAAGAACCATACATTCGAGTATTTTCTGGAATATTTCGGTCCGCAGAAGCTATTTTAGTCCTTGCGTGACAAACGCCTATCGTGGATATTTTTTTGTACAAGTTTTCTTGTTGCCTTCGGTGATGAAAAAAGGAATCACACAACGAGCGTATTTTTAGGAATTTACCAGAAAAGTTATACTTCGTGAGTTCAAATATTGTTGCATCATTGACTCGCTGTCAGTAAACAATTAAAAGGTCATGATCCAACGACATCCTATTTTTAACGCGATTTAATGTTCTTTATTTCCTGTTCATCAACTTATTCATCTCTTGTTCAAGCGTAATAGCACACGAACAACTCTGGGAGACAAAAATTTAAAGGTGTTGCAAGATGAATCGTGCAAATTTTTGTATTTTAAAAATTTACAGTATTTTGAAGTAGGAACAATGTTTTGGGGCAAAGCAAAGTAGAATTTGTATTGTAATTTCTTGTCTTCCATGAGTTGCATGAAGGTTTTTTATTGTAAGATAATTTGATGGAGATAAATCAAACATGATGAATATTGTTTCGAAAACTCACACTCCGGGAACTTCGTGTGAATGCACTGACAACCCTTTTTGACCATCTATGATTATTCGTTGAGTGCTGAGCAAATTTCATTCCTTTTTTTTATATTTCAGACAGTTGAGTTGAATTTATAACCATTTCTCTTGAGTGAAGCAGAGAGAGAAACCTCCCGAGTCGGTTCCACCATGATTCTGGAAATTGAAGTGGAATACTGCGGTTCCTGAGGGTATGAACCCCAGTATCGGGAACTCGCCGGTGCTATCACTGATGCTGTTCCTGATGCGAAGGTCTCAGGCCGCGTTGGAAGAAAAAGTTAGTATCCTGCTGTTATTTGTTTTTTTGTTGCTGTTAATTTTTAGTCTCAGTTCTCTGTAAAATTCTGAAGAAAAAAGTCTTAGTACCCGAATCATGTTGTTTCCGCTTGAACGTCGAGTGTCTTTGACGGCGTGATTTACTTGGGTGTCGTGTAGGTGTCGCTGGAATTCCTGTGCTCAGTTTTGCATCATATCTTCATAAAATGTGGGATCTTACCTGATTAAAAGTGCTGTTAATTCAAGATGGGAACCCCCATGAGTCATTTGAAGCTGATGATGAAATTGGTTTCCTGAATTTATCCTCTTAATTTTATGTTCCAAACATTGCAGTACAGTATTGTAGTTCTTAAAGTAATGCAAAGAGTTGCAAATTGAACCAATATAACCTGATGCGTTTGAGACAGATTGGTCTGTGGTTTAATTTTTGGGAAATCTCATACTGAAGGACTCTCTACAACAATCCTGTCTACAGCAGGGGTCTCTGCCTAACAAAAATTATATTTGATCCCTTGGGGTTCTCTTCCTATGTTGAAAGGGTAGTCAACAATGAATTTGTATCTGGTCCCTTGAATTTTGCTGTAGAGTGAGAGTTAACCTGTTACAACAAAGTCACTTGGGGACATGGAAAAGGTTCATAATTCTGAGGAACTTGGTTTATTAGGACTCAAATAAAATTGTAGCAATGCTGCAGTGATCTAAAAAATATTTTACTTTCAGCAATGATTTCATGAGATTTGTTGTAATGAGTCTTTATTGTGATAAATCTTTCTTTTAGATTATTAGCTGACAATTTTTTCAAGTCTTCACGTGCATCGTCTGTTCATTCAGCAATTTCTTAGGTCTTGATAACTTCGTTGGAATGAGATGTTACTGCATGTAGCGATTTTACTGTAACTAACGTCTAGCGACATCTATGTAATACGGAGTAAAGTTCCTAACTTAATACGATTGAGACTGTTGCATAAAATAGCCTTTTTTGTGCTTGCCGCTTCAAAAAGACAGGGGGTGGATATTCGTTATTATGTAAAAAAAAAAATCGTTGTTTACATTCTCATGTCTTTCATTTTTCATTTTCCCCCCTCCAGCATCATTTGAAATCGTGGTGAATGGATTTGAAATACATTCTAAATTGAAGACCATGAGCTGGCCGGACCCTGAAGAGGTGCTGGAAATTGTTCAAGACATGGCCGCAGGAATGGAACCACGCGTCGTGAAGAAAACGAGGAGCTCCATGTCCTGTTGCATCTCTTAGATAAAAACCACGGTACTGAAGTTGACTTTCAGAATTTTCTTTTTGAACCTCCAGTTTCATTGTTATTTTTTTCAGTTGTAAGCGTCGGTGTTGAGATCCGTTGAAGGGTTCTGGGCCAGGTCGAACGTATGAAGGGTAGTCTCGACCCGGGGGTGATTTCTGTCTTCCCGTGGGACAATCCGGAAGTGAAGGAATTTGTCAAATAAATTTCGTTTTTCGACCTGGCTGTTGGACGCTTTTGCTGAATATCTCGTCATTGGTGGACTCCTCTTGTTTTTCTCCCTGGACTTGATTCCATTGCGTTTGGCCTTTTTTCTGAATCGGCAGAATATTGCTCTAGCTGATGAGATAATCGTGATCCTTGATCCTCAGGTGTCTTGGTTGGGTTGTGGTTTTTAATTTGTTTTGTCTGTCACGTTCAATAAACATTTATCTTCTCCTTCACAGTATTTAGTTCTTTCTCTTCAAGAGGTTCTTCATTGTTCTGAGTTGCCTACAAAATTATAAGTCCTTCTTTATTTCTGGAAAAATGGCCTAGAGTTGATGAATGAAAATCTCAAGGAAATGCTTGACCTTGGTGTGCAGTGAAATCTTGTTTTAACTATCACTTATGACAAAGCTGTCTTTTAGATCCCTGCTCAATATTCACAATGTTGAAGTTACTTCAGGGAAAGAAATCACAAATAAGCCATTTTACTGGCTGTAATGCCTTTGTTGTACCAAGATTTTTACTGTAATGTATACAAAATTAGTTGTAGAGAAATGTTATCAACATTGTGGCTATTGGACAGGGACCAGAGAAGTAAAATTTCTGTAAGCAGCAATTGGCTGGAACAAAATTCTGCTGTTTATGTGGGCAACAAGAACAAAAAGGTACCTCCAGAAATGTTGTGCATTCAGCTTAATGGTGTGATACTTTTTCCCTCCAGGTAGAAACCCCCAAATCATTTGTCTTGGTCCTGGTGCAAGGTGATAGATACGTCATGAAACTTGTGTTTGTGCTTCCAGGTGAGTGTCAATTCATGGAATTTATCTGCGAGTATGTACATAATTTGAGGAAAATGTTATCAAGAGGGAATTGTTCATCGTAAGATTTATTGTGAGAAAGCTGAGATTAATTATTTGTCACCAATTTTGATGGTGTTCATGAATATAATGGTACAGATGTTGAAATTTTTGAAATGCAGGGACTAAAAAAATTATTCAGATATAATGATATATAGTAACATTTTTCTTAGTTCTTGTATTCTTAGCCCTTGACTAGTAAAGTTCTGATTTTACATCATGTAGTTTGCTGAAATTTTGTTTTAAAAGGTTCAAAGATACAAAATCTTTCTCAATCAGAAATACAATTTGTGCAGATGTTCAGCAATTCTAAAAATGTCAGGCTGCTCAGACTTGGGGGCATCCATTTCCAGGGTTCTTCTTGAAATCTTGTAACTTTAATCTGCCTGTCAGCAATTGGGTTGAAAGGGCAAATGTATGATTCTGAAGATCAGATGGCTG